AATACTCTATTGCATTCGAAACCAGCAATTTCTGGAAAAGCTCAGCAAGTCTGGCAGCATCTGTGGAGAGAAATCAGAGTTAACGTTTTGGGTCAGGTGACTCCTGTTCTGAGGAAGGGTCACTCAACCCAAAACGTTAACTCTGATTTCTCTCCACAGATGCTGCCAGACCTGCTGAGCTTTTCCAACAATTTTGGTTTTTGTTTGATTTACAGCATTTGCAGTTTTTTTAAGTTTTTGCTCTATTGTATCATTTATAGTGGACTCCAGCATTTATTGATGTCAGGGTATCTGGTCTATAAATCCCTGTTTTGTCTCTACCTCCTTTATTAAATAGTGGAGTTACATCAATCTGTAGAAACAGTTTGAGGCTATAGAATCTTGAAAGCTGGTCACCCATGCTTCTCCCATTTTTAATGCACTTGAGTACACGAGAATGCAGGTTATCAGGCCATGGGAATTTATCAGCCTTTATTAACATCAATTTCCCCAACACCATTTCTTTCAGTTCCTCCCACTTACTAGACCCTACATCCCCAATATTTTTTTGAGATATTGCGTCCCGCTTTGAAATATCCAAAATAAGTAGGTAGTTGGTCTACCATCTTTGCTACCCATCAGAACATTCCCTGTTTCCGATTAAGGGGCCTACATTTGTCTTAACTAATCTTTTCCTCTTCACGTACCTATAGAAGCTTTCACCGTTGGTTTGTGTGCTTCCTGCAAGCTGACTCTGTACTCGATTTTGCCTTTCTTAATTTTTTGCTGAAATCTAAACTGCTCCCAACCCTTATGTCTGTTGCCTTTTTGGCCTGTGTGTGCCCCTTCCTTGGATCTAATACAATCCCTACTTCTCCTTATTAGCCATGGTCGGGCCAGCTTTCCCATTTTATTTTTGTGTCTGACAGATACGAACAACATTTATAATTCCTCCATGCGCTCTAAAGTTTTTACCGTTGCTTATTCCTCCATCCCTTTTGAAGTTACATCCATAAAATAAGATTATTAGAGTGCCAAGTATCATCAGCAAGTGATAGACAGAACAAAGCGATCCCACAACCAATGAATTTGATCTAAGATCTACAGTTCTGCCATACCCAATCATGAATGATGATCGACAATTAAACCAGTCTCACTGGAGAAGGAGGCTCTAAATATCGCCACTCCCACTATGAATAAAGGTCACTGGACCCAAAACATTAACTCCACTTTCTGTCCACAGATGCTGCTAGCCCTGCTGAGTTGTTTGTTCAGCAATTTGCTTTTTTTAGTTTCTGATTTCCAGCATCCGCAGTATTTTTTTCATTTCCCACCCTCAATGATGGGAGAACCCAGGACATCAGTGCAAAAGATCAGCCAGAAGAGCCGAGTGGTTAGTCCATCTCTACTTCCTCCAGGGGTCCGGAGCATCACAGATGCCAGTCTTCAGCTGCTCTGTGATATCAAGAAATGGCTGAAGGCACTAGATTCTGCAAAGACTGGTCCCTGCCAACATTCTGGCAATAGTACCAAAGACTTTTGCTCTGGAACTTGCTGCACCCCTAGCCAACAGCAGTAGCAAATACCCAACTATGTGGAAAATCGCCCAGGTATGTCCTGTATGAAAAAAGCAGGACAAATCCAACTGTAGTTGCCAGCTTTCTGCTTCCCTGCTTTTTATAATGGAATAACATTTGCAGAATTTTTTAACTAAAGACTCATTTTTCAAATTTAGAGCTTTGATTACATTAGCTCCTGCAATTTCCTCACCCTACTTCTTTTTGCACTCTAGGTAGAAAATCATTAGGCCTCAATTTACCTCAATTCATGATGGTCTTTATCATTTTTTGATTTGTTAAATCCAAATAATTTATATTTTTGATAATATTACAAATGTGAGCTGATAAAAGCTGCTATGAAGTTGAATTGAGTTCCAAAGTTTGATTAAGCACGTTGCATAGATGATAACTGCAGATGCTAATACACTACTGTTATCCATTAGGACTAAGCTCATGGGATGACATTGATAAACTCAAAGCATTCCCTAAATTGGAAGAAGTGAGGCTTCTAGGAATTCCTTTGCTCCAGAGCTATTCAGAGGAGGAACGACGCAAACTCATCATAGCTAGGTAACCATAATCTTTTGATCAGTCATGAGAATATGCATTGAGTGGCAAAGTTACATCTGATAATATGAGCCAGAGGGTGTTTATAGAGTTGTGGAGTGACACAGTACAGAAGAGGCTCTTCAGCCCATCAAGTCTGCGCTGATCTGTCTACACTAATCCCACTTTCCAGCACTCAGCACATACTCTTGAATGTTATGACAATAAGTCCCCATCCACATACCTTTAAAAAGATATTGAGGTTTCCTGCCTATGTTATCCTCCTAGGCAGTGCATTCCAGATTCCCACAACCCTCTGGGTGAAAAAACAAGTTTTCTCAAATCCCCACTAAATATTCGGCCCTTCACCTTAAAATTGTGTCCCCTTGTTATTGACCCTTCAACTAAAGAGAACATCTGCTTCCTGTGCATGCCCCTCATAATCTTGTACAACTTAACCAAGGACCCCCTCAACCTTCTCTGATTTAAAGAAAACAACCTGAAACTATCAAACTTCTTACAGCTAAAATGCTCTTACCCGGGTAACATCCTAGTGAATCTACTTGCACCCCGTCCAGTGCAATCACATCCTTCCAAGAGTATGGCAGCTAGAACTGCACACAGCTGTGGCCTGACCAAACTTTTATACAGCTCCAGTATAACCTCCCATTGTTATTATCTATGTCATGATTGATAACTGCAGTGTCCCATATGCCATCTGAACCTGCTAACATGTCCTGGTGTCTTCAAGGATCATTCAGTACTCCCTTGCTTTGTTACAACTTCCAAGTGCATCACCTCTCATTTATCAGGGTTAAACTCCATCCGTCACTGATTTGACAATCTGACCAATTGTGCACATCTCCTTGTAACCTAAGACGTACTTCCTCACTGTCAATTTCTTTGCCAATCATCATGTCATCTGTAAACTTACTTATCATACTTTCTGCTTCGTCCCCATCTCACATTTTCTTCTATATCATTTGTATATGTCACAAACAATAAGGGGGCCAGCTCTGATTCCTGTGGTATGCCACTGGCCACTGGCCTCCAGTCAGACAAACCACCTTCTGCACCCTCTGAGTTCTACCACTAAACCAATTTTTGGATCAATTTTCCCAAGCTACTCTGGATCCCATCTGTTTTTACCTTCTCTTATCAATCTCCCTTATGGTCCGTTATCAAATGCTTTGCTGAAGTCCGTATAAACGACATCAACTGCACTACCTTCATGTACCCACCTAGTCACTACCTCGGAAAATTCATTCAAGCTTTTTAGGTATAACCTCCCTCTGTCAAAGCCATCCTGACTATCTATGATCAAACCTTGCTTCTCCAAGTGGAGATTAATTCTCTCCTTCAGAGTTTCTCGTAATAGTTTCCCTACCACTGATGTGAGACTCTCAAACCTAATTTCCCCCGTTTATCTCTCTCACCCTTCTTGAAAGGTGGAACCACATGTCTTCCAAATCTTTGGCACTTCCCCTATGTCTAGAGAGAATTTTAAAACTTTGGTCATTGCCTCTGTACGTTCTTCCTTGGCTTCCAAAGCAGCCAGGGATGCAACTCATCCAGACCTATGGATTTGTCCACCTATACACCTACTAAAGCCTTCAACACCACCTTGCTCCCTAGGTCAGTCTGCTCTAGAACATCTCAGTCCTCCACCCGAAATTCTGTGTCGACATCCTTCCTTCTCCTGAATGAAGACAGATGTGAAGTACTCATTTAATACCCTACCAATATTCTCTGACTTGCCACAGCCCCTTTGCTTCTTAATGGTCTCTACTCTTTCTTTGTAATATACCCAGAATATTTTACAATTTTCCCCATTTTTCCATTTTTTTTTAGAAAGCCCCTTCTTTGCTCTCCTAATTAAGTCCTCCCATGCACTTTTATTCTCCACTGGTGCATCAGGTGACTTACTTCCTTTATATCTGCCTAAAAGCCTCTCTTTTCTTCCTTAATATTTCTGGGCTTGTTGCTCCTACATTTCACCTTAAAAGGAACAGGTTGGGCCTCTACTGTCCCCATTTCCTTTTTGAATACACCTGTACTCCCTCAATCCAAAATACATTTTTGCAGGCAATCTATTTCCTTTTCCATGACAAATAAACAGTGCTGTGGTCACTATCACTACTATTCACCCCACTGCCACCTCAACTGTCTGTCCAACTTTCTGCCCGAATTAGGTCCAGCACTGCAGTGTCCTTTGTTGGACCTTCTACATGTTGACACAAACAGCTGTCCTGAATACATTTCAAGAATCTGTCCTGTCTAAACCCTTTATGCTATGATTACCTTAATTAATATTGGGAAGTTGAGTTCCTGTAATGCAATTACCTTATTGTTATTACACATCCCTGAGAATTGTGTACATATCTCTTCTATTGCCCACTGACTGCTGGAAGTATAATATTTTCCCCAAACAATGTGACCATTCCTTGTTATTTCTAAGTTGTACCCATACTCAACTCCAGGACATCCCTGCAAGAGTTCCTCAGGGTAGTGTCCTAGGCCCAACCATCTTCTGTTCCTTCATCAATGACCTTCCCTCCATCTTAAGGTCAGAAGTGGGGATGTTCGCCATTGATTGTGCAATGTTCAGCACCATTCGTGACTCCTCAGATACTGAAGCAGTCTATGTTCATATGCAACAAAATCTGGACAATATCCAGGTTTGGGCTGACAAGTGGCAAGTGACATTCACCCACACAAATGCCAGGCAATGATCACACCAATAAGAGACAATTCATCCACCACCCCTTGATATTCAATGGTGTTACCATCACTGAATCCCCCCACTATCAACATCCTGGGGGTTACCATTGACCAGAAACTCAACTGGACTCACCACATTAACACAGTGGCTACAAGAATAGGCCAGAAGCTGGGAATACTGCAGCAAGTAACTCACCTCCTGACTCCCCAAAGCCTGTCCACCATCTACAAGGCACAAGTCAGGAGTGTGATGGAATACTCCCCACTTGCCTCGATGAGTGCAGCCTTAACAACACTTGAAGCTTGACACCATCCAGGACAAAGCAGCCCACTTGATTGGCACTACATCTATAAGCATTCACTCCCTCCACTACCGACGCTCAGTAGCAGCAGTGTGTACCATCTACAAGATGCACTGCAGAAATTCACCAAAGATCCTCAGACAGCACCTTCCAAACCCACAACCACTCCCATCTAGAAGGACAAGGGCAGCAGATATATGGGAACACCACCACATCCAAGTTTCCCTCCAAGTCACTCACCGTCCTGACTTGGAAATATATTGCCGTTCCTTCATTGTTGCTGGGTCAAAATCCTGGAATTCCCTCCCTAATAGCATTGTGGGTCAACCCACAGCAGACGGACTGCAGCGGTTCAAAAAAGCAGTTCACCACCACCTTCTCAAGGGCAACTAGGGATGGGCAAGAAATGCTGGCCAGCCAGTGACGCCCACATCCCACAAATGAATTTTAACAGTCTCGTGTAGACCCTTGTGTTTGTGTTGCAAATTCTATTTGACTACTTACCATTTGAGTGTTGGTGGTAGTGAAGGATTTGCATTGAACTGCAGGTATGGGGCTTTGGCTGGTATGTTTATTGTGGCTGTTGGTATCCATTCATGCACGAAGATATTGTTCTAAATACTTGCCTCAACTGATCTAACGTGCACGGTTTTAATTGTTTTATCTTTTAGCCAGTTTCCATAGAGTGCAGCACAGTTCTGATTTAAGCTGTTCAAATTTGCCGCTTTGTTGTAATTTGGATCTTAATGTATACTTCCCTGGTCCCACCTTCCATCTGCTCATTTGTCATAATCTCAATTCTTCCAGTCCCAGAAAAGATCTCATTGTCTTTATCAGTTATCTCTTCTACTGTGCACATCTGATCAGGAAATGCCAGATCACCATCCTAATAATTGTACAACATGACAGCACAAACACCAACTCACAATCTTTTCACTTAAAACTTCATCTAATCCTACATTTTTTAAGAGTTTATCAATTATAGACAGGATTTTGCATTTACATAGTACAACTAATGCAGTGAGATATAGCAAGAAGCTTCACAGTAAAATTATCAAACATAATTTGAGCTCCGTGGGAGACTTTTTGACAAATGACCAAATGCTTGATCGTGGGGGTTGATTTTACATTTTAAAGAAGGAAAAACATGTTGCATCAAGAGAATGTAAGGCTTAGCTAATTAACTCTGTGGTAAAGAAATCTAGAAGTTTGTATACCAATTCACTGTTCTTGTGTTACGCTGACCTGAAACAGAGCTGTACTTTTCTATGTTGTTGGACAGAAGTCACATGTTTGCTATTTAAATAGTTATTCATAAAAGTCAAGCTGATGTCCTGTCTTGCTGGCAGGCTTTAATTTCATTCCATGTTTTCCTAAACAGGTTGCCATCTGTTACAGTGTTAAATGGCAGCAAAGTTGCTGGCGAGAGGATAGATGCTGAACGGTTTTTCATACGTTACCATATAAACCACCCAGATGAAGAATTACCAGACAGGCAAGTGATTATTCAAAATATTCAGCCTTCGTAGCCCTACTCCTTACAATTCCTGCTCTTTAAAGTCTTATTACTTCCCTCAGTGCTTCCCATGCCACTTTTACGAAGTGTGTTTTTGACCCATTGTGTTAATTTCCCACTTTCCTCCTGCTTGGTGTATACCTTTCTCTTCATTTTGTAAATGATTGACACGCCAATCTGTACAGTGACACTACAGAAACATACGTTTAAAAGCTGTGCTTTAAGTTGCACTCCTGGATTGGACAGAATCATTACTACCCTAGTAGCTATTGGATTAAAAGAAAAGGAAAGACCTTGCCTTGGCTGTACCTTATTACTACTTGCCCTCCTCAGCGAAGCCCAATGTTCATGAAAGCACACACTTCCATCACAGTCCCCTCTCCAAAATGGCTAACCCTGCTAAATCTTGCCTCCTTTTTATATGTTGCTCATAGGAGGGAAAATCTCTCTCCAAATCCTCTCCTCAGTCACTTCTCACTACTGCCCTATGTTGGATGTTGTTCCTCCTTCTGTTGAGTACTGGGTTCTCTGTGATCCCCTTCTCAGTTGTGGTGACCAAGCTGTCTTCTCCCAGAATCCTGCTGAGTCAATAATCACCACTGCCCTATGTTTAATAATAAAGGTTGGTAGTAAACAGTAAAATTGTGGTTTGGTAATATAGAACTTAAGTATTACTGAAAAAGGAAGTGTTGTCAAAACTTCTGTTCTTGCACTTATTAAGACTAGACAAGAATCCCAAACTTCAGAATAACAATTTATATTGCATGTAAAACGTGATGCAGATTAGTTAGCAAATGGGCTCTGAGTCATAAGAACATAAGAACTAGGAGCAGGAGTAGGCCGTCTGGCCCTTCGAGCCTGCTCCGCCATTCATTAAGATCATGGCTGATCTTTCGTGGACTCAGATCCACTTACCCGTGTTCTCACCGTAACCCTTAATTCCTTTATTGTTCAAAAAAAATCTACCTTTTCTTTAAAAACGTTTATTGAAGTAGCGTCAACTACTTCACTGGGCAAGGAATTCCATAGATTAACAACCCTCTGGGTGAAGAAATTCCTTCTCAATTCAGTCCTAAATCTGCTCCCTCTAATCTTGAGGCTATGACCTCTATTCCTAGCTTTACCTGCCAGTGGAAACATCCTCTCTACTTCTATCTTATCTATTCCCTTCATAATTTTATGTTTCTATAAGATCCCCCCTCAATCTTCTGCATTCCAATGAATATAATCCCAATCTACTCAGTCTGTCCTCATAAGCCAACCCCCGCAACTCCGGAATCAACCTAGTGAACCTCCTTTGCACCCCCTCCAGTGCCAATACATCCTTTCTCAAGTAAGGAGACCAAAACTGCACACAGTACTCCAGGTGTGGCCTCACCAGCACCTTGTCTAGCTGCAACATAACCTCTCTGCTTTTAATTTCAATCCCTTTAGCAATGAAGGACAAAATTCCATTTGCCTTCCTAATTACTTGTTGTACCTGCAGACCTACCTTCTGTGATTCATGCACAAGGACACCCAGGTCCCTCTGCATAGCAGCATGCTGCAACTTTTTACCATTCACGTAATAACCCTTTTTACTATTACTCTATTTACTATTACTATGAGCAGTTCCCAAAATATTTTCTACAGATTGCTGTTCCATTTGCAATTTGGCATTCTTACAATGCATCCTATTATTGTGTTTTTTTTTCATTTAATGGAAATGGACATCTCTGACTGGGTCAGCATGTAATGGCCATCCCTAGTTCCCATGAGAAGGTGGTAATGAATTGCCTCCTTGATCCATTGCAGTCCCTTTTGCATAGGTAGACACACAATGCTGTTAGGGAGGGAGTTCCAGGATTTTGACCCTCCACAACTAAATGAACAGCGATATATTTCCAGGTCAGGATGGAGAGTGGTTGGGAAGGGAACTTGCTGGTGGTGTTCCCATGTATCAACCACCCTGCTCTTCTAGATGATAGCAGTTGTAGATTACGAAGGCGCTGTCCAAGGAGCCTTTGTGAATTTCTGCCATACATCTTGGAGATTATGCGCTCTGTTCTCACTAAATGTCAGTTGTGGAGGGAATGAATGGCACCACACCCACAAACAATCAAGTGGGCTCCTTTGTGCAAGATGGTGTTAAGCTTTGGTGTTGTTGAAGCTGCAGTCATCCAGGCAAGTAAAAAGTCATTGGTGATCTTTCAGGAATTACTGAAGTTAGCGAGAGTTCCAGAGGACTAGAAAGTGGTTAATGTAACACCCCTGTTTAAGACTGGAAGAAAGCAGAAGACAGGAAACTATATGGGCCGGTTAGCCTAACCTTGGTTGTTGGTGAGAGTTAAGAAGGCTGAGATTGTGGAATATTTGGAAATGCATGATAAAATAGAACTGAGTCATCAAGACTTCATAAAGCAGTGGTTATGTCTGAAAAATCTGTTAGAATTCTTTTAAGGCTTCTTAAATATTGCAAGAATACATGCCTCCACCTCTTTATCAGGCAGCACTTTCCATATTTCTACCACCCTCGGTGAATAAATTTTTCCTCAGATCCTCTGTAAGTCTCTTACTCCTCACCTTAAATTTATGCCCTCTTGTCTGAACACACATCTGCCATGGGGAAAGAATTCCCACTATCCACCTATGCCTGTCAGGATTTTGTGTACCTCCATCAGATCCCCTTCAGCCGCATCTGCTCCAGGAAAAACAAACCCAGCCTAACCATTAACAGCCTGAGATACATCTCATTAGGCCCTGGGGATTTATGCCACTGACACATCTCATATCTCCTCATTGATCTTCACATGCTCTAGAACCTGAGCATCCAACTGAAAACTCCAGCTCCAATGTTCTTTTCCTTTGAATACAAATGAAAAATATTCATTTAAGACCTCACCCATTCCTCTGTCTCCATGCATCAATTGCCCCTTTGGTTATAGGCCCCAGTTTTTCCCCTGGTAACTTTTTTGATTTTAATATACTAATAAAATGCCTTGGGGTTTTCCTTAATCATATCTGCCAAACATGTTTTATAGCCCCTTTTTGCCCTCCTAATTTTTTAAGCAGCCCGTACAGCTATCCCCTGTTTATTAATGCTCTGCATTTAACATATACTTCCTCCTTTTTCTTTATCAAACTTTCTATTCTTTGACATCCAGCATTCCCTAGACTTGCTTTTAGAGGAACATGCTAGCCCTGAGCAGTAACTGTACTACTATTAAAAGGCTCCTCCTTTCCAACTGTAGACTTACCAGGAAGTAGCTGCTCCCTGTCTGTTAGCCAAATCCTATCTAATGGTGTTGAAATTGGCCATCTCCTAATTTAAAGACTAAACTGCTGCACTATCCTTGGTAAGTTAATGATTTGGATTGACACATGAAGTATTATATTATTGCCATCTCACAAACATGCTTGAGAGAAGGACTGGACTGGCAGCTCAGCATTCCAGGATATAAGATCTTTAGGCAAGACAAAGGAGGATGTAAAAAGGGTGGTGGTATGGCAAGGAACAATTACTGCAAGAAGGAGAGATGATATCTTGAAAGGGCCCTCAAACGAGGCTTTGTGGGTTGTACTTAGGAATGTTAAGGGGCAGCTACTTTACTGGCAGTGTATTATAGGCCCCCAAAGAGTCAGTGGGAAATGGAGCAAATATGTAGATAGTTCAGAGGTCTGTAAGGGTAATAATTGGGATTTCAGCATTCCCAACATAAATTGGGACAATCGTAGTGTTAAGGGTTTAGAGATTCCTTGAAATATATCCGGGGAGATTTTGATATCAATATGTAGAAGGCCCAATAAGGGACAGCACAGTGTTGGATCTGATTCTGTGGAAAGAAGCCGGACAAGTAGTCAATATGGCAGTGGAGGAACATTTAAGTGATAGCAACCACAACATGGTAAGGTTCAAATTTGTTCTGGAAAATGAAAAAGATGGCCTGCAAAAGATGGCTTTAGATTGGGGGAAGGCAGATTTTATCGAAATAAAGCAGGATTTGGCCACTGTAGACTGGGAACAGCTCCTTGCAGGCAAGTCTACAGCGGAGCAATGGGGGCATTCAAAAAGGAGCTGGGGAGAGTACAGGTCCAACATGTACCTTTTAGAGGGAAAATGTAGGAGCAATACATTCAGAGAACCCTGGATATCTAGGACAATTCGGGACTGGATAAAGCAGAAGGAGTAGTCTTTTAGCAGGTCTAAAGGGAACATTCACCTGTGGCCCTCGAGGAATACAGGAAGTGTAGGAGGGAACTTGAAGCAGTTAGATGAGCAAAAAGGAGGCATGAAAAAGGACTTGTGAACAGGATTAGGGAGAATTCTATGATATTTTATAAATTACATTAAAAGGAAGAGGTTAACCAGGGAAAGAGCGGGTCTCACTGGGAAGCTTGGAGATTGGCTAATTTGGTGCCATTATTTAAGAAAGTTGGTAAGCCTGGTGTCAGTGGTGGGTAAGTTGTTGGAGGGGATTCTGAGGAACAGGACTTTCACGCATTTGGAAAGGCAAGGACTGATTAGGGATAGTCAGCAAGACTTTGTGCTTGGGAATGTGTGTCTCACTAACCTGATTGAGCTTTTTTGAAGACGTAACGAAGACTGATGAGGGCAGAGCTGTGGACGTTGTCTACGTGGAATTCAGCAAGGCATTCAACAAGATTCCACGTGGTAGACTAGTTAGCAAGGTTAGATCACATTTGCTACAGGGAAAGCAAGCCATTTGGATAGAAAATTGACTTGAAGGTAAGAGACAGGGTAGGTGTGGGGTGTTGCTTTTCAGACTGGAAGCTTGTGACCAGCAATGTGCTGCAAGGTTCTGTGCTCGGTCCACTACTTTTTGTCATTTGTATGATTTGGATGTGAGTATAGGGGGTATGGTTAGCAAGTTGCAGATGACATCAAAATTGGTGATGTAGTGGATAGTGAAGAAGGTAACCTTAGAATACAACGGGACCTTGATCAGATGGGCAAGTGGGCCAAGGAGTGGCAGATGGAGTTTGAATAAGTGTGAGGTGTTGCATTTTGGTAAAGCAAATCAGTGTAGGGCATAAACACATAATGGTAGGGTCCTGGGGAGTGTTACCGAACAAGAGATGTTGGGTCCTTTACCCAAGGAACATAATTCCATGAAAGTGGAGTCACAAATAGACAGGATACTGAAGAAGGCATTTATTGATAAGTGCATTAAGGAGATGAGAGGTCATGTTGTGGCTGTATAGGACATTGGTTCGGCCACTTTTGAAATTCTGCATTCAGTTCTGGTCTCCCTGCTATAGAAAAGATGTGGTTAAACTTGAAAGAGTTCAGAAAAGATTTACAAGGATGTTGCTAGGGTTAGAGGGTTTGAACCAAAGAGAGAGGCTGGGGCTATTTTCCCTATTTGTTACTGAAGTTGAAGTTTATAATACCATGAGGGGTGTGGATGGGATGAATAGCCAGAGTCTCTTTCCCTGGGTTGGGGAGTCCAAAACCAGAGGGCATAGGTTTAAGGTGAGAGGGGAAAGATTTAAAAGGGACCTAAGGGGACAACTTTTTAATGCAGAGGGTGGTGCATGTATAGAATGAGCTGCTGGAGTAAGTGGTGGAGGCTGGTACAAATACACCATTTAAGAGGCATCTGGATTGGTACATGAATAGGAAGGGTTTACACAGGTATGGGCCAAATACTGGCAAATGGGAATAGATTAATTTAGGATATCTGGTCAGCATGGATGACTTTGACTGAAGGGTCTGTTCCATGCTGTACAACTCTGACTCGAGTACTTGGATGAGCACTTGAAATGTCATACCATTCAAGGCAATAGGTAAAGTCCTGGTAAGTGGGACCATTGTTGTAGGTGTAGAGTAGTTTTTATCTTTGCAGTCTCAGTGGGCCGAAGAGCTGCTTCTGTACTATGTCATACTATAATTTGCTGGGGAATCCTGAGTGTGCAAAGCTTTACACTGATAACCAGTTATGTTTGTCAGTGAGGCTCACAGTGTGACTTAGATGCTAGAAGCTACATTAGTACACAGGATCTTGTTCTTTCTGCCTGCAAAGAACGTGTATGTACTGCATCGATTTTAGCTCAGTAGTTAACGACCATTCTCTGGTTTGCTTCTGCAGGCAATTTCCTGCTCAAGTAGCCAACCTGCCAGGTTTGAAATTTAATCATAGCAGTTACTGCTGTAATGTTCGATGTTCTCTGTTTTTAACTGTCAATCCACATTAATTGGGTGCATACTCTTTGGCAATGCTACTACCAATCAGAGTCCTTTGCCATTCGATCATCAGTCTCTTATCCTGCAGTGTAAATTTTGTTTTCCCCATTACTTAGTTTTGTTGCAAAATGTCCCAATGAATGCAAGATAAAAGATTTGACAAAATGACAATTTTCAGCATACTCAAACGTTCATGTTAAATCTGCACTGATCTGCAGGCAGCCTACATCTGGTATTACCACGGAATTTGAGCATCTAATCTAATATAAGAAAATCAAGAAATTTGTTCTGCTCCCAAAGCCTGTGAATCAATTCGTTGTTATTCACATTGCACAGCACTGGATTCCATTAACAATATCATCCCAACAATCCTTATAACATGTAAATCTGTCCTTCGTCTCACAGTTATTTGAATAGGCAGATGTTAGATAATTGTTACTGTATCTGTGGAAGAAATAGACTAGATGGATCAGGTAGAAATTTTTGAGATCACAAAAACACATAACTCACATGGATCAATTGCTCATTTTAGTGAGTGATTCAGTTTATCAAAGCCAGCGGGAAATACAATACGGGGAAAAAAGAATAACACATCGACTAATCTTTCTCAAAACAGTTAAGAAAATTGTGATGCAATTTAACAAGCAAGGACGTTCAGACTACAATATAATTGGTTTCAACATATAATTGAACGAGAGAGAAAAAGATGAAGCTTGCGATCATATGCTAGGTGGTAAGAATAACATATGTAAAGGATGAGATTATTGGGCTGAGAGGTGTGTTTGTTTTTGTCAGAAACTAATTCTATCGTCTGCCAAAGGAAAGTGCTTTACTAATTGCATCCATTCCCAAAGTACATATTGAACTAAGGTATAGCTAAAAGGCTAAGATGATGCATACTTCATGTTTCCCTGGAACCTTCACAATGGCTCAGTGGTTAGCACTAGCTCTGCTGCCTCACAGCACCAGGGATCCGGGTTCAATTCCACTCTGGGGCAACTGTCTGTGTGGAGTTTGCACGTCCTCCCCATGTCTGCGTGGGTTTCCTCTGGGTGCTCCAGTTTTCTCCCACAGTCCAAAGCTGTGCAGGCTAGGTGGATTGGCCATGCTAAATTTCCCATAGTGTTCAGGGATGTGCAGATTAAGTGGGTTATAGGGGGATGGGTCTGAGGGTCAGTTTGGACTTGTTGGGCTGAAGGGCCTGTTTCCATACTGTAGGAATTCTATGATCTGTTCTTCTCTTTTTAACACATCTGTACCCATCCCAAGCACTGAATCCACCAATAAGGAAATTTCGCACAATAACTTCTGCATTTTGTGCACACTATTATAATTGAGTTGCCCTGCTTTCTGTGCAATTTTCTGGTATTTTTTTGTTTAGATATTGAGTTTGCACATGTTAAATTGATCAACCTTAAATTCTTTCTCTTGTTTCATTTGGTTCAAATAATCCTTTGAACTGTAACACTTTGTTTTAAGAGTTTTCTGTTTGCATTGAATTAACTTTGGAGAATTTGCTTTCAGAATCTTGTTGCATGTGCAGATAGGGTCATTGCGCATTTGAGAATTTTGGTGTAGAGCTAGCAGGCTGGGAAAGTGGCATTCAGCCAAGGGACAAAGTAGGTTTGATTAACAGAATTGGAAATTACTACTTGCTAAGGTATCATTTCAGACTTTGATTATCTCCATTTTGAGTTGTAAAGAAAGCTCATATTGTGCAAATCTGCAAATGGTTCTAACTAGGGCTCACTCTTTTAGTGAAGTGCAGCTGGAGTGAAAGTGAAGCCAGTCAGGTTCAGCTCTCCAGAGATTCACTCAGGTGCTGGAATGTTCCATTTAAACAACGACTCTCTGTTCCAGCTTTTTATGAGCCTGATTCTCCCATGAACTACTCATATTGCTTATTCGTGAACACTGATATATTATAATACTCCATAGACCGTGTTTCATTCTTACACTTGCTCTTGAAAGCACGCAGACTAATTGTCAATATTTAAGCCACTATCAGGACAATGATAGTTACCGAAATGATATTTCTTAGTGTCGATCAAATTTGTTTTAGCATACCACACTGAACCAGTCAATCTTGACTGAAACTTCCCAAGAATTATGTCTTAATGTATCTTTGCTTATTGTAAGTGTAACTGGTTAAGACTGTGAGACTGCTAGTTTGGGCCTGTTGATCTGTCTCATTTGCACCACTGATTCTCACCAGCTCTTGTGCTGCTTGCAGTAGGGCTGTTTGAGGTGCTTGTTCAACCATTTTGTTTCCAAATTCCTTAAGAGCCACATTGTGTGAAGATCCTTTTTTGCTGGATTGGCATCTGAGCTATTTTGTTCGAATCCCAAGATTATTTCTCCTTGTCTTGAGCTCCCTTTCTAAAGAAGTGGTATTTTTGATTTCCTTATTTTAAGTACATGAAGCTGGTTTGCCTGTATGCTCATTTCCAAACGATAAGTAACCCATACTGGGGAGAGAGAGAGAGAGAGTGGGAACATGGCATTGAGAGAGAGGATCACGTGATCATACTGAATGGTGGATGGATTTGAAGGGCCAAATGGCCTACTCCTAGTTTCTACTTGTCTATATTTGTCCAATCTCTCAATAATGAGCCATTAAACCCATGTATCAAGCCGAATAATCTATGAATATTCTTCTAAATTTATATATTCTCTCTAAAATACATGGTAAAACTAATGCATGCTTACATATAAGTCTAGTTTAGATTTAACAATTATTCGAAACATTAATTTGGACCAAGTAAATAGGGAGAAGGCAAATGGAATCATGGTCTTAATTACATTGGGATGAGTGTGCTGGAATAAAGATGTCTTGCTACAGTGAATGGTTAGGTTCTGGAATGCACAGACTGAGATCATGGTGAAAGCAGGGTCAACATAGGCATTCAAAAGGGTGTTAGGTTAGTATCTGTAAAGGAAAAAATGTGCAGAATAACAAGGAAAAGGCAGGGTGATGGCACTACCTGAGCTGATTCTTCAGATGCTTAACATGGCCTCCTTCGTTGCTGTGACCATTCTGTGAACAACCCTCAGTATGATCACTATCCATTTCTTTCTTTCATCTTTACTTTGTGATGAAGCACGAGAACTCATTTGCTCATCTACCTGAATTTGAAAACCCCTTTGTGCACAAAAACCACACTTGCAATCCCCAAAGACTTATCTCCTGTATCTTCCTAGATGATATTAATAGTGTCAGGAAACTGAATGTGAACCAAGAGTTAATATGTACAGCAGAATTAGTTTGAAGGAAGAAGGTTGTACCTGGTGAGAGAGTGGCTTTTTTTAAAATTGATAATGCTAATATTAAGGCTTAGTCCCACTGAGTTTGAACACTGAGGTATACTACAGGTGTTTTTTTTTTAACTATCTGAACTCTCCATTTATTTTCTAGATACCACGAACTGGTAACACAGTATGGTGTACTGGAACCATTGGCAGTGGTCGACCTTCGACCCCAGAGCCGTGCAAAGGTTGAGGTTCACTTTGAAGGTAAAGTTGAGGTCATGAATATTCGTCTCGATCAGACAGTGGCTGATCTGAAGAAGCAACTTCGAACTGTCGTACAGTTACCGGCCAATAATATGCGCCTGTACTACATTGATCAAGACATGGTAAAGACTTTTGGACCAGAAGAAATGAAATTCAGCACACGAGCTCTCCACTCATTTAGTATTCGAGACGGAGATGAGATTCATGTAGAACCCAAAACAAAATAGTCTTGTGAATTTACTCTCAATCTTTGCACTTTTTACACAAGTATTTTGTTTTTTTAATGAAAGTGTTGCTGGGTCACAGTGTGGTTTCACAACTGTAACTATTAAGGCATTTGACATCCAGTGCATAGGTACTAATTATTGCTGATCAAAATTCCTAAAATTAGTGAAAGTTTCGATGAAGGAGGCAACCCTGTAATAACAGATCCTATTGTCACCATGGCTTTGATCAGTGGAGACATATATTGTGATGTGTTTATTGAAACCAGCAGTGTGCAGAATCATAAGTTACTGTAGTGTAATGAATGAAGGATCACCATTGTATGAGGTTACAAAACAAAAGGATTACAGCCTGTACAACACTGTTCTCAATCACTCCACTTTAGAGAACACAATCTGGGTTTTAATGTTTGCTTGTAAACCTACTTGGTGTTAAGAAGATGGGGTACGAAACAGCACAAAATTGTCCTTAATATAGTCAAATTTGGATATGATCATGCCATTAACACATGAAGTAGTTGTCTAAAGTTAAGCCATTTATCAAGTTAACTTGTTGACATCAGTTCTCCTCCTGCCATCGACAGAGGTTATTATCCTTTCAAAGCAGGATTTGGTTGTACAGATGTGACTACATTATGTATTTCAACAGCCATTTTAAAAAAGGAATTGGATATACACTTATAAGGAAAAAAGTTGCAGAGCTATGGGGAAAGAACAAGGGAGTGGGACTTCTTAGATAGCTTAAAGCCGGCATGGGCACATTAGGTCATTTTGTGCTGTATCATTCTGTATCAATATTGCCAAAATGTGAATGAACATGATTTCTGAAGCAGTGGCAATTCATTTCAGCAGAATCCATGCTTTAACACTTGTGACGTACAAACAAGTGTTTACACAGAGTAAGCAATCAGTATTTAAATTGCACAGTTAGCACCTTGGACACCATGCCACGTAAACATGCACAACATCCACAGTGCTATATGAACTGCAAACATTGTAATTGTGCATTCAGTATGTTAGCTGCAATATACACACATTTAATGTGGGCAGTAATATATTGATGGATTCAAATTGGTCCATGAAGGGCAAAGTAAGCCTCAAATATTTTCTTAAAATTATTTTCAACCAGATGCTCAAGTCTTGGGATGTGCTCCAAGTTGCATTATTGCATTTAATATTGTATTTGGTTAATTGTGGAAGTGTTTCATCTGTTCATTCAAATATAATTATTTTGATGACTTTTTAGCTGTGGTGAGTTGACTGGATGAATCTGTGGACCCAGATTCTTACCATTTGATTGTAAGTGAATGTTGTTTAGATAATCACGTCTCTGAATTAGTTTACTGCCATGGTTTATCATGCTTGCTTTGGCCTTTTTGGAGTGATGTTTATGCTGCAATATTCCTCTGCCACTTCATCAAATCATGGAATTTGATTCCTGTAATGGAAGGAACTGAATTGTAGCCTGGAGCTAAGTTCATACGGCGCCAAGGCAGGATGGAGCCCTAAACATAGAGTTAAGTGTACGGTGTTCCTCATTTGCTGTTATCTGTATAGCAGACAATGCAAATTTGCTATCTTTCAGGAAAACTGCACTTTGTGTGAATAAGCATCCTTTGGTTATGGTTTGTAAGAAACTTGACCCAAATGAATCCATTCCACATACATACTAACATTGAAGTGTAACAGTGCTTTTTTTTTGTGAGCTTTAGGATTTATTTGTGACCCTGGTTGAAACATATTGAAATCAGGAGCCTGATGTATCATTTTTCTAAAACTTCATTGACAGGATGAGGGCATTGCTGGCCAGGCTAGCTTTTATTGCCCATCTGTAATTGTCCAGAGGTCAGTTAGGGGTCAACCACCTTGTTGTGGGTCTGGAGTCACATGTAGGCCAGACCAGGTAAAGATGGCACTTTCCTTCCCTAAAGGGCATTAGTGAACCAGATGGGTTTCTCCTGACAATCGATATTTGTTTAACTAAACTCTTAATTCCAAGTTTTTATTCAAGTCAAATACCACCATCCGCCATGGCAGGATTCAAACCTGGGTCCCCAGAACGTTGTGAATCTCTAGATTAACAGTCCAGTGATTATTGCTACTAGACCATCACCACCTCCCATGGCTTGTTATGGCTTTTTCCCTTGAATGTTCAAATCGTTTTCATATAAATTACTTTGTGACTCTGAAGGTGACTTACCTGATCCATGAACTCACGTTGCCTCTTTGTGAAATAAATGTTGAAGATTTCTGGTGTGGTACAATTATGTCATGAGATTCAAGAGGGGGTATTTAAATAAAGGGTATTGTTCAACAAGTATTTAATATTAAAAAGGGCAAAGAGCAAGGCTGTGGCCACCCTACTCTAATCCATACTTACAGGTTTGATTCATAGTTGGTGGTTAGCTCTTGTCCTGCAGGTAGTTTTTATTTCATCACCTTGCATACTTCTGAGCAGTCATTTTTAATGTTTTGGAGGTAAGGTTTTGTATTCAGCCTTTCAAATCCAGGTTTTAAAAAAAATCTAGTGTTCTGGTGATTCGTATAGCCAAGAATACTTTCTCAGTTATCCTCTATACAGGTCCAGTAACATGCTAAGACTGTCTCCCTTGCCGCCTCAATTCGGCAACGATCTGATTTGATTACTTTGTTGGATTGTGTTACTACTGAGTGCAATCACTAGCACTAGCTAACCAGTTATTTGTTGCTTACCGAATGCTAAGCGAGCTGACAAGGCAAGGATCAGCCAACTTTTAAGCAGTTTCCACTTTTTATCCTATCATTTAACAATGAGATGAAGTGTAATTGTCAGATTTTGAAAATGGATATTGGTTGACTGTAACATTGCATTTACTATGTGAAACTTGTCTCATTTTTGTTATATTTGGTCTTTCCATTCTCATAAAAGCTACTGCTGTAGGTTGGGTGCCCTGATTCTGGAAGTAGTAAAGACTGTACCTGGTGTGCCCTTCCTCCTATACTGTAACCATTCTGTGATTCAAATACACCTCTTTCGGGTGTTTTTTTTATTGCTGTGTCTCATCACTGGTCTTGGTATTTTATGTTGTCTAATGTCATTCTCGAACCTGCATGTGAATCCAACTTAACTCATGTATCCGAAACATTAATCACCGCTTTCCCTGAATGAATTATTGAGTCAGTCTCTCAACTATTTGCATGTAAATCAATTTAGTTTTACTAAGTGAGCATAATGCAGTCGTAATTGACAAAAATATAGCAAATATTTTAAGTATTGCAGAGTTTAATGAATTATCAATAAAACACTTAATTTCAATATCAAGGATTATAACTGATCTTTTCATTTATTAGAATTATGGTTAAACGGACCTGGGGCAGTTTCCCTTACTTTAGAATCAGTGAATTTGTTTCTATAGATGTGGTGAATGTCCCTTATGTTGCACTTGACCAATGCAAATAAGCTATATAAAACATCAGAACCTGCTGCCTGGGAAGCTAAAAGTGTTCTGTTTATAAAGATCCGCAGTTCACATACTGAACTCACCGTGAATGGCCCTTGACATGTCTTTCAAATAGCCAGTCAGCCCCAAAACTGCTATCAGTAACGTACTGACGATGTCACAAATAATTTTGTTTCATATCACGTCCTCTGCTGAAGGTTTTGGTTCCTATGTAGGTAGCACTGGCCAGTTACCATATGGCATCTCTGGCTTCAGAATGTTCTAACACTTTTGCTTTTATGCTGGAGGAGTGAGGTGTGCCAATCGGAGAATCTGGAATTATGTATTGTCACACTGAAACATGAGAATTTTGACAAGGAAAGGCAGAAGGAATAAGCTACACCCTGTTGACTAAGCATGAGCCAGCGCCTTGCTTTAAAACCGAATCATGTTCCCTCCAGTTTTATATAGTCACATTCTCTCAGAACAGTTGACATTTTATGTTCGGATTATTTGGACTTTTGTAGTCACTACAGTATTGGCGACGTGGCGCGGTCTGTAAGGATATCTTCATGTTCCAGCCAATTGGTAATTGAGGGGCTTGGATATTAACACCCAATACAGGAATGTGCGCACTGGTGAATAAGTCCCTTTCTAATAATTAGCCCCTCAACTGCCTTGAAAGTAAGCTTCAAACCATGATTTGAAGCTAGGAAGCAATATCAATGTTTCCCCCACTCAAAGCAGAGAAACAGTCCCGTGACTGAGCGCCCAAAATTGTCAGATTTGGAGGGACAGTTGCACAAAAACAAACTAATCTTACCGAGGTGGAGTTTACACAAGCTATAAGGTAGTTACTAATAAATGAGAAATTCGGGAGAATCTTTTGACTTCTGAGAGATTCACTATCACAAAGTGACTGAGGTGAATAAGAGATTACGTTCAAGGGGAAGCCAGAGAAACATGGAGAGAGAAATAGACGGTTACATTCATACGAGAGAAGTTTTGTAAGGCAGTTGTTGTAGAGCTTAAACACCAACAGCTTTTCTGTGTACGGATTAAAATCACATCTGAGCCAAATCGAGCAGAAATGAAAGGTCCCATCCTTCCATGTCACTTTTTCAATAGTTAGCACTTTCCCGTTTCGAAACGTGCCCTTTCGCGTATGAAGTTCACTACAGAAACGGAGCTTTAGCATTTTCCATTGTCAACCTTCAATTTACCAAGATATCAAATTAATTAATTAAACTCCCAAACAGGGTTAACGTTAATAGCAGAAACAACGCACGATTAGGGCTAAATGTTGTCAAAATAGCAGTTGTAACAGCAATAAGTAAGAGTATTGTATTGGGACAAAACAAATTTGGAAAGCGACCTTGTTAGGCGCATTAGGTTAAAACTCAAATTCCCCTCGGCCAAGTAAACAGGTCGTTAATTGGCGGCATTAAACATAGCAACAAAAGCATCTGCAAAAAGGCAACAGATAGCAGGTTGTGTTTTTGCAAGGTACGGTCCTGAGACGTCGCACTTGATAAATTCTATCATTTACATCTGGGTGAGTGCCAGCACAGGAGGATTATACCCCAACAAGGAACATTCCCATTTCAGACAAATGGCCTGCAGTTCTGAGGAGGAGTCACTCAACCCGAAACGATAACTCTGATTCCTCTCCACGGATGCTGCCAGATTTATGAGCTTTTCCAGCAATTTCTGTTCTTGTTTTATTTACATCTTCCACAGTTCTTTCAATTTTTATTGTAAATGACCCTTGTACCGTTTTAAAGAGCCCACATTTGGAGTTGCGGAATATTTCGATGTGAACAAAGCAAACAAGTTGAAAAATGTGAAAATGTCAAGAAGAAAGAAAAGAGGCAAAGTCTCAGATCATTTCATAACAACAGATCCAATGAAAGGTTCAGTGTGTTTAAAGGCAACGGAGCACTTTGTGGACAATCTGTGCGAAAGCCGGAGCCCATAAATATTTGTAACTTTCCCTTTTATTCAGTCACCGGCGACACAGTGGAATGTTGGAAACAAATCTAACAGGTTTGCGTTTCCTTGGGTTGAGGGGGCAGCAGGCTAGAGAAAATAGCCGCACTAGCAAATGGACTGTGAAGGGTCTAGGCCTGAAACGTCAGCCTTTCTGCTCCTATGATGCTGCTTAGCCTGCTGTGTTCATCCAGCTCTGCACCTTGTTGTCTCGGATTCTCCAGCATCTGCAGTTCCTGCCATCTCTGTCAACAGAAAAGGGTCATTTCGGAGCGATTGGAGTTCACCAAAGAAACATTTAAGATGACGGGAATAATTGGCTCAGGGACAGGACAACTGGCAAATGGAGGCAGCAACTTGACAAACGGGCTTCCTGGGGTAGGTTCCATGGTAGGTAATTCCCAGTGAGAGCATCGTGTCACCGGGATCAAACTGAACAATGAAACTTCCTGGTGCCAATTCCAAGCCAGGCTAACAGTTAGCACCAGAAGCAGCAGCATATTGATTGGGTTAAAGGTTGTCAAAATAGCAATTACACAGCAATATTGAAATTAATACACTGTAACAAATGAGCGCGTTAATCGCTGTCAAACATCGACTTTACGAAAGGATTGAATTCAAGCAGGACAATCAGAAACATCCGTCTCACCACAAGGATTGGAGTTAACGGGAGCTTTTTTTTTAATAGAACACAGTCACTAAAATAATTACATTTTCTGGTATCCAGTGATGGACTGCATGACAAAGAGCAGTTTTGTTTCAAATGGAATTTTAAAATGAAACCAGTGCCTCGCTGTCATTTAATGAAAAAAATAAGTTTCTGGCAAGGACGGAGCTAGTATTTTCACTGAAGAAATGTTCAAGCCATAAAGCGTCACACCGGGATGTGGGGAGAGTGGAGCTGAAACCAACGATCAACCATGATCGTACCGAATGGCCTACCTCTGCTCCTGTTTCTAGTGTTGGTATTAGAGTTTGCAGAGAACAGATTTCAAATCAAAATCGACAGAAAGTAAAGTCTTCAATAGAACTGGAGTTAACAGGAACAAGTCGCTGACCATTTGGACTGGCAGGAATAACTTATTAAACCTGAAGCTAACAAATGGAGCAGGAGGGCTCCCCTGCAGCTGAACAGTCGTCTCACGGTTACCATGAACAGGAACAAAATAAAAAGACCAAGTACATTAAGTAATTTTTCCGGCAGGATTACAAATTAAAACTGCATTTGCACCAAAGAGCGTTCTCTGAAACAAGAACCCAATTGGAATTGTTTAGAAGAGTTATTTTGAACAAAAGGATTCACGATTTGTCTCGGAACGGAATAAATAAAACTCGAGTAAATGTAGTTTGGGGAACTGTCTTCTATTTTAAACGGTGATCCTATAGTCAAGTTGGCGTTTGTATCCTGAGGGAAGACTCGCTCTGAACCAAAGCGGAGAGAAAGTTAAATGGACAACTCCCGCAGATTCACAAACTCGAGTAGTTTGGGATGTTTGTTTATAAAGGGAGTCTAAGAGAAAGGAGTTTGTGTGAGTGGTGCTGGAGCTGTCTTGATGCACAATAGAGCAGATACCGTTCTTTGTTTGAAACAGAGATAAACGATTCTGTTGTGAATCCTCTGTCCGCGTGGAACGCGATTCGTCCTTATCACTCCTTCTTTAATCAGGATGGCATTCCAGCGATTAGTCTCTGACAGCGGAAAATGCAAATTATGAAACTAGAGATACCGCTGAGAAAAAGTGGAAACTTTTGTCTAAGAGGGAGATGAAAAGGACGCCTATTCTTAACTGTCGGCTTTTCATTTCTGATTTACTCCAAATCATTGACATTTTCATCAGAACATTCCTTTTCTCTTTTAAGCAACGCCTGAGAGTTCAAGTTACACCCAAGACCCTTCCACACACAACACCCGATTCACGGCAAGACTGTTGTCAACTAGCAATCAAGGACCTTTTCATCCGTTTTCATTTCGACTTCTTTAAATCTGCTGACTTCACCGACTCATTTCGCAACCTGGAATAATGAGCGAAACCGCCTGATTTTAAACTGCCTCAGTTTCCAGGAGGAACCCAGACTGCGGCGACATCTGCTGAGGAGCAGCTCAGGTAGGTTTCTCTTTCCTACTTTCACCTTTTACACATCGTCCCCTAAATTAGAACAGAAATTCGTCACTGGAAAGGCTCAGCCCCTTCCTGGTTACAGGTTCAATGTGACAGAGGTTTGGAATGATTCTGGGTTAAATCTCCTTTCAATCTCTGCCCTCAGTTGGTCTGTGATTGGAATTGTTAAATGGTTACAGCATCGTTACACCGTTCCTCTCAGTCCTGACTCTGTAAATCAATTAGTCCCGTCTTTCCTCAGATTCAATTGTCTTTCGAAAGCCAAGATTGAATCCGGCTCCACCACACGTTCAGACAGTACATTCTAGATTCGAACCAATGAGTCAGTCACTGAGGTCTCCATCTCAAACAAGGCTCATCGACCCATCGAGTCTGCGTTTGTCGAAAATAAGCACCTGACTATTCTAATCCCATTTTCCAGCACTTAGCCCTAATGGTTTTCCTTCGTGTCGCCATTGCTTCTATTTCCAAACATTTCAAAATAAGGATTCTCTTGTTCCAGGCACTTCCGCAATGAGTGCTGGTTCTCTCCACCTTCTCTGTTGAAAACTGTCCCCTCCCGATTTTGAACATCTGTATCATTTCTGCACAAAAGCCCGACTTCTCCCATCTATTCACAGATTGGATCCTCTTATCCTTGCAATGTGCAGCTTTCTAAAAAAAGGGCAACAGTAATTTAGTTGTTGATCATTTGGGTACAAGTTGCATTCGGACTTTAATTGACTTCCAAATGTTCTCTATAACTGACACGCAATAATCACACATGAGGGTTTCTAGCTCAACAGTTTAGTATGGAGTACTGTGCGCAGTTCTGGTCGCCCTGTTATATGAGGGATATTGTTGACCTGGAGAGGGTTCAGAAAAGATCAGGATGTTGCCGGAAATGGAGGGTTTGAGTTATAAGGAGATGTTGGATAGGCTTGGACTTTTTTCACTGGAGTGTAGGAGGTTGAGGGGTGACCTTTGTAAAGGTTTATAAAATAATGAGGGGTATAGATAAGGTGAATGGCAGATATCTTTTTCCCTAGGGTGGGGAATTTCAAGACTGGGGGTATATTTTTAGGGTGAGAGGAGAAAGATTTTAAAAAGACGAGGCATATTTTTTACACTGAGAGTGGTTTTTAAGTGGAATGAACTTCCTGAGAAAGTGATGGGTGCAAGTACAGTTATAACATTTAACAGACATTCAGATAAATACATGAATAAGAAATGTTTGGAGGGATATGGACCAAGCACAGGCAGGTGGGATTATGGTTGCATGGACTGGTTGGACCTGAGGGTCAGTTTCCATGCTGTATGACTATGTGAGATCATCCAATCATGGTGAACTGGAGCAAGACAGCCAGAATGCATCGCTAAATTGAAATAGAATGGTTTGTATATACCACAGAAACTGGGTATCCTGTTGCAACCTTTTAAAATAAGTGAGATGGTTATGGTAATCCATTTGCAACAGTGAGATAGCTGGTTTTCTGGGACAGGAATTAAATGAGCAAAGTAACCTGCTGAAAAATCTCAACTTGTTGAGTAATGCCCCATTCATTAAAGGGCTCAGTTGTAGTGTTCCTACCTCTGAGTCAAGAGGCCTAGATTCAAAATCCTATTGCTCCAGAGGTGTGTAGTAACATCTCTGAACAGATTGATTTAAGAATATCTATCCCATTCATTATTTAATTTGAGTTTGGTGTACCCCATTAATCTGGTTAGTCTGAGATGGTCAACAAATCCTTTTAAGTTGAAGTGAACTGTGCATTACATTCCCCATTTCTGAGCAGGAAAGCTGACGTTTTGGGTTGGGACGCTTCTTCAGAAAATTTTCTGAAGAAGGGTCCCGACCCGAAATGTTAGCTTTCCTGCTCCTCTGGTGCTGCCTGGCCTGCTGTGTTCCTCCAGCTCCACACTGTGTAATCTCCACGAGTAGTTTTGGAGCAATTGTTCCTGATATCAATGGAACACAGTACATGCTTATTTCCAAAACCAAAACAAAATCCTGCACATGTTGAAAATCTGAAATAGAAAATGTTGGAAATACTTAGCCAACATTGAGAGACAGAGTTAACATCTCAGGTTGAAGTCCTTTCATCAGAAACAATTTAAACCAGTTCCAGTAGCCTTTTCTCCAAAATGTGATCCTTCTCTCTTTCAAATATTAGTCTATATCCTTTTTAAAGGGATTTGGTGTTCTGCTTCCAAACTGCTTTTGAGAAAGCCTTTCAACCTCTGAGGAACATTTCAAGTTAAAGAGTATTTCATTAAGTCCCACCTTTCTTTTGATGACCATTTCATGACCATGTCTAGTTACAAATTCTCCAGTTCATCATTACTCATTGATGCTCAGTTCAGGTACCACCAGGGCCACTCAGCTCCTGACCTCATTGCAGCCTTGGTCCAAATATGGACAAAGAGCTGATTTCCAGAGGTGAGGTGAGAGTGACTGTCCTTAACATTAAGACCGCATTTGATGAAAAGTGGCATCAAGGAGCCCTAACAAAACCAAATTCTTTGGGAAAATTCTTTACTGGTTGGAGTTATACCTGCCATATAGGAAGATGGCTATTGTTATTGAAGATCAGTCACCAGAACATCTCTGCAGGATTTCACAGGCTAGTGTCCTAGGCCCAACCATCTTCAGCTGCTTCATCAATGACCTTCCCTCCATCATAAGGATAGAAGAGGGGATGTTTTCTGATGATTGCACAATGCTCGGCACCATTCGCGACTCCTCACATTCTGAAGCAGTCCATGTTCAAAAGCAACAAGATCTGGTCCATATCCAGGTTTGGACTGACTAGTTAGATTTACATTAAGATTTAGATTTTATTGTCACATGCACTCAAGTACAGAAGTACACTGAAAAGTGTATAACATCACCACACACGGCACCATCTTAGGTACAAAGGTACCTAGGTACATAGAAACTCAGGTACAAAGTAGTAAAAGAGACAAAGTTAAAAAGTTACTGCATAGACTAGTAGAAAAATAAAGAAATAAGGTAATAGTTAACATTAAAATCTTCTGTAGTTTAAACTAGGAAAATAAAGACATAAATTAAAAGTTCAACAGTCTTTGATGAATTTATCTCACTCTCTGGGAGACTCAGCTATCTGTTCTCGCCACTGCTGCAGATGCCATTGCTGCTGCTGAAACTGCCACCTCTCTGATCTCCCCCGGTGCCTCGGGAATATGCCCAGGCAAGATCCACTTACATGCCAAGCCAAGACACTGCCATGAGCCGCTGATAGACCAGCCGAGATACTGCCGAGAGACCAGTTGTCTGGAACAGGGTGTCTCTAAGACCTCGCAGGCTCCTCAACCAGTGTACACAATACTAATTTACCTAGGAAAGGATTACACAGCACAGGTCTGCAGTCAGTGAACCGGGTCACAATGTATACTGGTAACTTGTGCTGGTCTGTCGAATTGTTCAGTCTGTTCCTCTCATCACAGGTTGATTCTCTCCCTGGTCAGATTGCAAGCTGCTCTGGTCACTGCTGTATCCTGACGTACCTCTAGGTTGTCTGGAAAGTGGGCTCCAAGTGCTAAGCAATGATCATCTCCCAATAAGTGTCAATCTCACCATTATCCTTTGAAATTTAATGGTGTTATCATCACTGACACCTCATCACTCCTTCTCAAGGGCAGCTAGGAATCGGCTATAAATACTGGCCCAGCCAGTGACACCCACATCCCAGGAGTGAATTAAAAAAAGAAATATCCTTTCCACATCCACATGTTAAGATCCCTCAGGATTTAAATGTTTCAATCAAGTTGCCTTTTACTCTTCTCCAAACTTCAGAGAATGAAAGCCTATCCTGACCATTGTTTTCTCATAAAACAACACCGTCATTCAAGGTATTAGTCTAGTAAACCTTCTCTGAACTTCCTCCAAGGTGATGGTGTTTTGGAAGGAACAAGAGCTATTCCAGCACCTGCATTGAATATGTTTACTAAACAGGAGGTAGTGCCATAGTGGTAATACCACTGATTCTAATAATCCAGAATGCCAGGCTAGTATTTTGGAGACATGAGTTTGAATCTCACTGTAGTAGATAGTGAAATTTGAATTCAATTAAAAAATGTGGAATAAACAAAAGCTAGCCTAATGACATCCATTTAATTGCTGGTCGACATAAAGATCCATCTGCTTTGTTGATTTCAGTAGTGTCCCTTTAGCGAAGGAAATCTGCCACCCTCACCCCACCTGGCCTACATCTGCCCCAGATCCACAGCAATGTGTCTGACCCTTAACTGCCCTTTGAAATGGCCAAACAAGCTGCTCAGTTCTTCCACAGTAAATGCTGGCTTAGCCTATGATGCACACATCACACATGCAATTCTTTTTTTAATTACTCTAGACAAAGGAGGAGACACCTTGGAGAAAAGTGGCATGTTGTATGAGCAGTGTTTTAGGAGGGTGAAACAGCACAATCTTGTTCTGGTTTTGAGAGTAGGATGGAAGCCTGAGTGAATCCAATGAGTTCCAGGAGGTAGACGTGGAGCTAAGATACACTCACAAGAGATAGCGGGATATTGAAGCTTAAATAAAAAGCTCGAGAGTGTTGTTGAGATGTCAGAGGTAATTGTGGTTTCCAAATCAGGTAGAATGGAACCCAAGAAGATGCCAACTGGATCGATACCCCAAAATGAAGCTAGATAAACAGGTATTGAGACATAGTCTCTCTTTGAAGAAATGTGCGTGCCCTACTTGATTGGATGAGTGGGTTTGAAAAGAAACTGGGTTCATGTCTAACTGGAAGATGAGGGCTGAAAGGAGTTTGCTGCAATGAGTAGCTGTGGTGAAAGGGAAGTTATTTTTGATAAAGAAACATGTCTTTCCAGCTACCCAATCACTCTGTCTTTTTTGTTGTAGGATCATGATTTCCAGCTGTCTGGCTCTGCTGATTTACTGCATTCTGACAATGGCCTGTAATGGAGGTCAGTGATTTGGGGAAAGTTACAGAGTGTTTTCAACATGAAAGTTCTCCTTTTCCACCAGCTCTATCTCTTTTTCAGTGTTGTGTTTAGAGTTACTGTATCAATTTGGAACCAGGAACTCAGACAGTGAAACTCCAAAGGTCGATGATGGCGGATCTCCAGAAATTCCTCTATCAATCACTTTCCCATTTTTTGCAATGGGACAGAGGTCACTTCATGTGAGTAATCGACTTGTATTATGAAACAAACTACCTCTTCCTATTACTTTTCTAGATAATGGGGTTTTTTGAAAGCTATGTATTGGAATCAAGTCAATAAGGCCATTACACTTAAGTTTAAAATGAGTTCATTTGACCAGAACCAAACTTCAATCCATTTAAACCATGACCAACGTCCTTGAAAATTAGATGCCTTAGGAACACTCATCAGACATGATCAAGGTGACAACTGCTCTACAAGGTGAATGACCTTCTCTGCTCTGCCAGGGTAAGTGCCACAAACTTTTGTCTGTCACCCCACACTCTATCTCTGCTACTGCAACCACCTCCTATTAAGATCCATGCTCTGACACTCCCACTATTGCCTACATCATCTGCCCTCACCCAGTCTCCTGGCTCCAACCTCCCAAATCACTAACCCTATATGGCCTCTGCTTGGTCTCTTCATACCCAAGCAACACCTCACCACCTTTAGACCACCACTTCCATCAATAAAATGCTGTGCCACACATTTTCAGCTCACTCAATCTCTCCCTTTCTCTCATTACAGGAAAAGTCAGCCCAGAGTAGAGCAGACAAGGTGGATGGGGTTGCCTGACATTAGATTCCTCAGTTCTTATAAGGAGGGATTCATCTCCTATGCAGGTGAAGACTGGAACTTTCCTGTAGAGGTCCATGGCCCAACAATGAGTCAGTCCCACTCCTCATACCACTCTCACATTAAACCCACTATCAGGGTCATTTGTTGCAAATCACATCGAACCGTCAGCCGTGACCACCTTCACCTCCACATGTCTTACAGACACATTCAGCATGTCTACCATTACTTCCATGGAAGAACATCTGCTCCAGCAGAAGCCACCTCCTCAACCTCCTGAGGGTAAAAGAGTTCTGAGGACTCAAAGGGAGCATTGTCAAGGCTGTTCTTGCACCTCCCACCAATTTAGATCCTGACATCTTGGAGGGATCATTAAGCTTAGAAAGTGTGAGACAAGTATCCAGTGAGCACCTCATTGTGAGTGCTCCGCCAAGGGTGAAATACCCCTGATACTGGTACTTGGAGGATTGCTGGAGACCGGACATTTGCTGAGGCCCAGGGAGTGATGGAATATGTGGTTTCAGCAATCATGGAGTTGGTCTACATGCACAGGGAAGAACAGGAGAAGCAGACAGGTGTGTGGGATGCAATCACCTTTATTGTCCAGAAGCTGCAGCAGTGCAGCAGGTTATGCAGTTGTCTGGCTGCTTCCATGGACAGTTTGGCGGCTACCATGGAGAGCCAGATCCAGCACTCTCAGGGTCGGCTGGAAAGGTACACACATGTCACTCCAGCACCACAGCCATTGGTCCCCAGGACCTTCCGAAGTTTTCTCTCAGGGCCTTTCCAGCAGTGAATAAACACTGCCCCTCCACCCTGCCTGCTCCCAACGCTGACCCTTGGAAAATCAGGCCCAGGCCCAATCACTTGCCTCTGGCAAGAAGACTCTTGAATGTCTGGGCTTCTGGACACAATCAACTCCAGAACCTCCCAACCAAACTTCCAGGGCCATCAGGTTCCACTGTCAAGAAAGCTCCCTCCAACCCAGCTGTGCAACCAAGGAGTACAATCGGACATAGTGGGAGGCAGAGAAAGAAGAAAACATATCGATGGCACTCTCGTGGCACGGGTCACATTGCACTGTTTATGAAGTATTATGTTTGTATGATTTGATTCTTTTGGCTCTACACCTGTTTGAGTATCTGTGTAGGCTCGTATGTGACTGTTCCAAACTGACACCTAACTTCATGTCTATAGAGGATGAACAATGGATCAATATCTGTGTTGAGACTCTGCTGCAGCTTGTGGAAGCAAAAGAAATAAGGTGTAACCAGCTACACTATACATGTTAATGCTGGCAATTTTTAAACCCGTTTTGGATAATTTTCGATCATCAAGTGCCCAATGTCCATTTACCCCCATGGTCTTGATACAGGGCAAGTTCCTGAATCCCTATGGTGTGAGTGAACTGTTGCACATTGGCAGAGCTGTGGGAGCTGTCCTGTTTCTCCCTGGGGGTAGGTTACCCCAATATGGTGGCACTGGGGCAAGGATGAAGGTCCCGTTTAGAGTCCAACAGTGGGGCTGTCACGCTCCACTCCTGATTTGGAGCATCTCTGCTCCCGGTTGCCCAAAGCTGTATTGCAGTGGATACCTCTTGGTTCCCACAGGTAGGACATCCAGTGTTTCCAGGTTGGGGCATGCTCCTCTCCTTCTCCTTCTCCCCTGTCGTATTGTGCTTCTTTTTTTGTTGATGGCCATCCCTCCATGTGTCTTCATCGTAGGTGAAACTGCTGGTGTGTCCACCATGCAGCTGCTTCTTTCTGTTTTGCTGTTGGCCCATGTAGTCTTGCCGTGGTTTCCTTCACCTTTGTCCACTTCCATGAATACTTGTGGATAACCCTGGCTTCACCTGCTAGAGAGTGACATCTCACTGTCCTTTGAGGGGGGTGCTGTCCACAGCTTGTGTTGCCACTTCTGGCCATCCGAACATATGTGGCGTCCCGTCTTGGGTGGGCTTTGTATAGGTGGCCTGCCTCCCCACACAGGTTACAGCTCTTGGACTCCTTGCAGTCCTTAGTCAGGTGCCCCTCCTGTTTGCAGTTCCTGCAGAGAGTCACTTTGCAGTCTGTCACTGTGTGCCCTGACCTCCTGCAGGTCAGCACGCTCTAGGCTGCCTGGTGTACATCAGGGAATCTCAGCTCCCTCTGATCATGAAGCTGGAGGGTGGCTGAAGGATGTTCCCATCGATGTCCACCTTCATGTTCACCTTAACTTGCTGTTGTTCGTCCAGATCCCAAATGAGTCCATTATATCAGTGTGCCACCTCCCAATTAGACACACCTTCCCAGAAAGGTCAGACATTTACTTTTAATTTATTCATTTGTGGGATGTGGGTGTCACTGGCTGGGGCCAGCATTTTTTGCCCATCCCTTTTGCCCTTAAGAAGGTGGTGGCCAGCTTCCTTCTTGACCCACTGCAGTTAACCTGCCGTGGGTTGACCCACAATGCCCTCAGAAAGGGAATTCCAAGATTATGAATCAGCAACAGTGAAGGAGTGATGGTATATTTCCAACTCAGAATGGTGAGTGGCTTGGAGGGAAACTTGAGGGTGGTGGCATTCCCATGTATCTGCTGCCCTTGTCCTTCTAGATGGAAGTAATCATGGGTTTGGAAGGGCCTCTGCCAGCACAAGGGGTTTATACATGTGGATGGTAACAACCCAGCTCCTCTGCTCTGGGAAGGTGAAAAACGGTGCTGCATATAGGACAGAGAGGGGAGCCTCACCTCCTTTCTCCTCAAATACCTTCAGGAGATGCTCATATTACTTCATGCTCCAAAGGGTCACATCAAAATACCCTCCCTCTGGGGAAATCCTACAGACAGTAGATTTGATTTATTGCAAAAATATACTGTATTTGTAAAAAAATCTTTAAATATATACGTAGTCACTAAAACAGTTCAGTTCTGTACAGTCTTAGCACATGGAGAATAAACATTGGAGTTCAACTTTCCCGATAGTTCGACAAACCCAAAGCCATTTCTTACTTATGCAAGATACTATTTACATATATTTGAGGCAGCAGGAGGGTCCAATATCTGAACAGGCCCCCATTTAACTTCAGCAGGCAGACCTCAGACAGTGGGTTTCCCCCACTGTGCCTTGGCAGCAGCTGCTCCAAGCTTTAGTGCGTCCCTCAGCACGTAGTCCTGGACCTTGGAAACGTGCCAGTCTACAACACTCAGTCGAGGTCAACTCCTGGCACTGGAAGACCAAAATTTTTTCAAGCAGACCAAAGAGTGTCTTTCACTGAGTTGATTGTCCACCAAGCACAGCTGATGGTGTGTGCTGGTGTGTGTCCCAGGGAACAACCCATAGAGTGCAGAGTCCTGCATCACGGAGCTGTTTGGGATGCATCTCAACAAAAACCACTGCATCTTTCTCCAGACTTCCTTTATAAAGGCATCTTCCAGAAGGAACAAAAACAAAGTTACTGGAAAAGCTCAGCAGGTCTGGCAGCATCTGTGAAGGATAAAGCAGAGTTAACGTTTCGGGTCCAGTGACCGAAGGTCTCCGGGTTCTGAGGAAGGGTCACTGGACCCGAAACGTTAACTGTTTTTTCCTCCACAGATGTTGCCAGACCTGCTGAGCTTTTCCAATAACTTTGTTTTTGTTCCTGATTTACAGTATCCGCAGTTGTTTCGGTTTTTATGTTCCAGAAGGAGATGTGTGACAGTCTCAGCGTCCCCACAGTTGTTTCAAGGGCTGCGTGCGATGGCTCGGACTGACTGGGCATACATGAAGGATCTGATAGGTAGTGCTTTTCTCACCACCAACCAAATGATGTCTTGGTGCTTGTTGGAAAGTTCTGGTGGTGGAGCATTCTGCCAAATGATTTGTTGATCCTCATGTCCTATTTGGATCCCACAGCAACCGAGGAGAAGCCTCTTAACAAAGAAGGTCCAGTCGACACGCGATCTTTCCTCCACCTGCTTCACAGTCACCCTTACTGTATTGTGGACCCCCTGGCCTGAGGCATGGGCACTCACAGAGGCTATAGCTGTAGTTGGCTGGTCACTGTTAGGCTGAAGCCAGCGTAAAGATCCATCAATAGCAGCTCAACTCCACTAAAGATCCTTCAACGTCCAATCATGAACCAGCAATGATCTCAAAATCCTCTGATAACTCGCAACTTACACTTGATCTTAGCCAAAAGATGTGTAAACCTGTAAAGCTGTTGCATAAACAGGAGCAGGACCATAGTATGAAATATTATGAAGGGCTACATGGAAATCTATCTCTGTCGGTATAAATGGATGTACCTCCGTGAATCCAGATCTTTCACACCACTGTTGAAGCCAATTGTTTGTTTATTGTAAAGGCATATCATTTTATTTTTCTGTTCTTTTTAAAAAATGCAAGTAAACTGACACTCATTGCTGTTAGTTCAAACAGTGGGTTAAACATTAGTTACAGGTGAAAAAGAGCCAGGGAGCTTTGTGTGAATGGAGATTTCACCTGGAACAAGTAGTTGATTGGTTTGTGAACTAGCGACCAGTGATGGATGACAAAGGCCTCCTATCTGCCAACATTGTGTGATTGGCTCACAGGAAGCTGAACAGCTTAATGCTATGAATGTTGAGGTCAGAAGCTATTGATTGCTAGAAAAAAAGGAGCTTTTTCAGACTGCAGTAAAAAGCAGGTTAAAGCTTTAACAAGTAGGGTTCTATGTCGATGATTTATAGTTGTTTACCTGTAGCTGGAACCTATGTATTTGTAATAAATCGTAAGTCTTGTTAAGTGCAGAAAACGGGTTTGTGCTCACTTTTAATCTGGGTCTAAACATCAGGGAAATTGGACAAGTCCGTGCATGTGCTTTTAAAAATCTTTAACTTTTGTGATTACTCAGGGAATAGTGGGGTTTGATTTCCAGCACGCTCCCTGGGTGACAGTAATATTACGTCATTTCAGAAATTGTTCATTCTCTTTTTGCTGCACCCCACCCCCCACCACCAAACTGTCCCACTCCAGCTGATTGTCTACTTTGCCTAGTGGTTGCTCAGACTATGTCAGTGACATTTTGGTACTTGTGCCATTGAGAGGTATAATCTATGGTTGTTGGGATTTGGTCTGAAGAGTAGATATTTAATGAATTTTGTGTCCTGTCTGCCAGGTGAATAACAATGGTGTGATATCCTTCAATGTACAAGTCAGCCAGTTCACCCCTGAAGCATTCCCTCTCTCTGATGGGCGTTCCTTCATTGCTCCTTTTTGGGCGGATGTTCATAATGGAATCAAGGGGAATGTGTATTACAGAGAGAGCACTGATCCCAGTATGCTGCAAAGAGCTACGAAGGATATCAGGAAGAGCTTCAAGGACCAGACCTCCTTCTCAGCTACTTGGGTGTTCATTGCCACCTGGTACAAAGTCACCTTCTATGGAGGCAGCTCCACAACACCGGTAATTGCAAATTGGAAGATTGTTATGAGGTTAACCTGTGTTTTTAACCGGTGCAGGGATAATTATTTGGGCAGCAAGATGAATGGTGCAGATGGAGAAACTGTGATTCAATCACTAATTGCTGCACATTCCTATGTATCAGACAATATCACTATATACATTGATCTCATAAGAACAAAAGAAATATGAACTAGAGTAGACCATTTGACCCCTTTAGCCATTCAGTACTATCAACAATGGTTTTCTGTGTCAATTATACTTTTCTGCCTGCTCTCCACAGCCATTGCTTCCTGACAGGGCAAAGTTGCCCTCAGCCTTGAATATAATCAAACATTAAGCATCTACAGATGTCTAGAATTATAGAAATTCACAAACGCTCAGTGAAGAAATTTCTCATCATCTCTGTCCTAAATGACAAACTCTCTATCCTGAGGTTATACCAACACATTTTAAATTCTCCAACCATTGAAGCAATTCATGTCCACTCCATCGGACCTCCTTCAGAATCTTGAATGCTTCAATAAGATCACCTGTCCTTCTTAAGTATAACCTCTCCAGCCTCACAACTGCATATCATCAACATATTTTGAATTGTGCTGTGTACACCAAGATCTGTCATTAATAACACTTGTGGAAATAAATAGTGATGTTTTGAAAAAGAGTCCATATTACAGAAGAAGTAGTGTGGAGGTCTTAAAATGCAAGAAGGTAAAAAAATCCCCAGGACCTGATCAGGTGTGTCAAAGAACATTGTGGGAAGCTAGGGAAGAAATTGTAGAGTCCTTAGCAAAGATATTTGTATCATTGACTGCCACGAGTGAGGTACTGGAAGACTGGAGGGTAGCTAATGTGGTGCCATTATTTAAGAAAGGCTGCAAGGAAAAGCCAGGGAATTATAGACCAGTGAGCCTGACATCTTTTGAAAAGATTTAAAAGGGACCTGCGGAGAATTTTTTTCACACAAAGGGTGATGTGAGCGTACAACAAACTAAAGGGCAGCCAAAGGGCTAATAAAGAAGTGATTCATATTCGAAGTGGTAGTGGCGGGTACACTTAAAACATTTAAAAGACTTTTGGATGGGTACATGAATAGGAAAGGTATAGAGGGATATGGGTCAAATGCAGGCAGATGGGACAAGTTCAGTTTAGGAAACCTGATCAGGCTCTATGATTCAGGACTGTATCTCACATCCTTTCGTGTCACTAGGCCAAAATCCTGAAACTCCCTCCCTAACAGCATTGTGGTATCCCCACACCCCAAGGACTGCTGTGGTTCAAAAGAAAATCTCACAACAATATTCCGAAGGGTAATTAGGGCAATCAATAAATGAATGAACTTACAAAATTCAACATTTTCACAACAGCTGATGTCAGTCTAACTGATCTGGTTTACCCTGATTCTCTTTCCCTCCTTTTGTGAAAAACAGTGATACATTTGTTAACTCCTAATCCACTGGGCACATCTTAGAGTCTCGGGAGATTTGGAAAATCATATCCAGTGCAGCCACTATATCTCAGTTACCTTATTTCAAGCCTTAGATAGGCCAGCTGCTCCAGGCCTTGAGAATTACTGGCTTTTTTACATTTCTTAGAGTTATTTTCCCTTACAATATGAATCACTTCTTTATTAGCCCTTTGGCTGCCCTTTAGTTTTTCTATTTAATTTGTACCTTCTATGGTTAGGGTTAGGTTAACTGACACAAAACATTTGTTCAACATCTCTTTATTTCATCATTCACTATAATCATTCCCCTCTCTCTCCATCTAAGGTACCAATATTTACTGTCCTACTGTCATGCTTTTAAACTTAAAAACTCCGACCAGTTGTTTTTAGATTCACGGTTAGTTTACACTCATATTTTACCTTTTTACCTCATTTATCAACTTTCTAGTGACCCTTTGCTCATTTCCAAAACACTCCCAATACTGAAGCTTACTTCTATTCTTCACAATATTCCGAAGTAAGACAGGGATAGATTTTATGTTTTTGCTGAATGCCTTGAATTTTTTTTTAATGTTCACTGCCTGTATATTTATTACTCTTGCCATATACCCACCAGCCTTATCCAGCTTTCTCTTCAGAACTTTTGCTTAGACTGGATTTTGAGATATTTATCTCTAAAGCTGTGTTCTGTGGTGAACAGATGAATACCTTTCAGTGTGTGCTGATCACAGATGAAAGAACATCATTTGCCATGTTCAACTATGCTGATATTTACTGGACGACGGGGACTGCAAGTGGAGGAGACCCATTAACTGGAGTTGGAGGCTCAGCAGCACAGGTCAAACTTTCCAAACTTCTTCCTCTATATGAAACTTTGCTAATAAAGTGAGTGAAAATAATAATGGCAGGATTGGTTAATGTAAAAATAGGTCATAGGTGTCGAATGGATTTAATGAAAGCTAAACAGCAATGGATTACAAGGTGTAGAGCTGGATGAACACAGCAGGCCAGGCAGCATCAGATGAGCAGGAAGGCTGACGTTTCGGGTCTGGACCCTTCAGAAATGGGGGAGGGGAAGGGGACTCTGAAATAAATAGAGAGACGGGGAGGCGATGATGGAAGGTGGATAAAGGAGCAGATAGGTGGAGAGAAGACGGACAGGTCAAGGAGGCGGGGATGGAGCCAGTAAAGGTGAGTGTAGGTAGGGACTTGGGATGGGGGTTGGTCAGTTGAGGGAAGAGGGACAGGTCAAGGAGGTGGGGATGAGCTGGGCTGGTCGTGGGATGAGGTCGGGGGTGGGGAGATTTTTAAGCTTGTGAAGTCCACACTGAGACCATTGGGCTGCAGGGTTCCCAAGCGAAATATGAGATGCTGTTCCTGCAGCTTTTGGGTGGCATTGTTGTGGCACTGGAGGAGGCCTAGGATGGACATGTCGTCCAAGAAGTGGGAGGGGGAGTTGAAGTGGTTCGCGATGAGGAGTTGTTGTCGTTTGTCATGAACCGAGTGTAGGTGTTCCACAAAGTGGTCTCCAAGCCTCCGCCTGGTTTCCCTGATGTAGAAGAGGCCACATCGGGAACAACGGATACAATAGACCACAGTAGCAGATGTGCAGGTGAACATCTGTTTAATGTGGAACGTTTTCTTGGGGCCTGGGATGGAGGTGAGGGGGGAGGTGTAGGGGCAGGTGTAGCACTTCCTGCGGTTGCAGGGAAAAGTGCCAGGGGTGGTTGGTCTAGTGGGGAGTGTGGAGCTGACAAGGGAGTCACCGAGAGAGCGGTCCCTTCGGAAGCAAATAAAGTTGAAGAGGGAAAAATGTCCTTGGCAGTGGAGTCAGGATTGCAGTTGGCGGAAGTGGCGGAGGATGATGCGTTGAATCCAGAGGTTGGTGGAGAGGTATATGAGGACGAGGGGCATTCTGTCTTTGTTGTTATTGCGGGGAGGGGGTGTGAGGGATGAGTTGTGGGAAACTCGAGAGATGCAGTCGAGGGCGTTTTTGACCACTGTGGAGGGGAAATTGTGGTCCTTGAAAAATGAGGATATCTGGGATGTCCAGGAGTGGAATGCCTCATCTTGGGAGCAGATACGGTGGAGGCGAAGGAATTGGGAATAGGGGATGGCATTCTCGCAGGAAGGTGGGTGAGAGGAGGTGTATTCTAGGGAGCTGTGGGAGTTGGTGGGCTTGAAATGGATATCAGTTTCCAGGTGGTTACCAGAGATGGAGACAGAGGTCCAGGAAGGAGAGAGAGGTATCAGACATGGTCCAGGTGAACTTAAGGTTGGGGTGGAAGGTGTTAGTGAAGTGGATGTACTGTTCGAGCTCCTCGTGGGAGCACGAGGCAGTGCCAATACAGTCATCAATGTAATGGAGGAAGAGGTGGGGCTTAGGGCCAGTGTAGCTACGGAAGAGGGATTGTTCCACATAACCTACGAAGAGGCAGGCATAGCTTGGGCCCATGTGGGTACCCATGGCCACCCCTTTGTCTGTAGGAAGTGGGAGGAATTGAAGGAGAAGTTGTTGAGGGTGAGGACGAGTTCGGCTAAGCGGATGAGGGTGTCAGTGGAGGGGGACTGGTCGGGCCTGCGGGAAAGGAAGAAGTGGAGGGCTTTTAGGCCATCTGCATGGGGAATGCAAGTATATAGGGACTGGATGTCCATGGTGAAGATGAGGTGTTGAGGTCCAGGGAATCAGAATTTTTGGAGGAGGTGGAGGGTGTGGGTGGTGCCGACGCCGACGTGGTGCCGGAGCCAGCAGCTCCAGAGTATACAATAACACCCAGCCCTGCTGGGTCTTCACCATTCCCCCCAGACTTCCGGCTCACTGAGGAACAACGGTCAGTCCTCAGTACAGGATTCACCTTTATCCCCCTCCACCTGAACATCAACGGATACCGCTCACGCCTGGACGTTGAACAGTTTTTTCGCCGCCTCCATGCTTACTTCTTTAATTGTGAGCCTAACCCTCCCTCTACCGACCCCTTCTCCCACCTCCAACACACCCCCTCCTGGACACCACCCCAAGGCCTCCTACCCTCCCTCAACCTCTTCACCTCCAACTGCCGTCGAGACATCAATCGCCTCAACCTCTCCACCCCTCTCACCCACTCCAACCTCTCCCCCACAGAACGTGCAGCCCTCCGCTCCCTATGCTCCAAGCTAACCTCACTGTAAAACCTGCGAACAAGGGTGGTGTAGTTGTGGTATGGCGCACTGACCTCTACATCGCCGAGGCCAGGCGCCAACTCTCCAACACCTCCTCCTACCGCCTGCCTTGATTATGACCCCACCCCCAACCACCAGAACATCATCTCCCAGACCATCCACAACCTCATCACCTCGGGTGACCTCCCACCCACAGCCTCCAACCTCATCGTTCCCCAACCCTGCACCACCCGTTTCTATCTCCTTCCCAAAATCCACAAACCCGACTGCCCTGGTCGACCCATTGTCTCTGCCTGCTCCTGCCCCACCGAACTTATCTCCACTTATCTCGACTCCATTTTCTTCCCCCTGGTCCAGGAACTCCCCACCTAATGGAAATGTCATTGTGAGGGTTGATAAGGATAGTATATTGATGTTTATATGAACTAACAAAAGCATTTGACAAAGTTAACTTGTAGGTAAAATTTAAGTCCATGGGTTAACAGGACAATAAGAGCATGGATATAAAATTCACTAACAGCCAGAACATAGCATGTAATAGTGAATAATTGGTTGTTCTTCAGACTGGAGGAGAGTAAACAGCGATGTTCAAAGGGGTCAATGTTGAAACTACAGCTCTATTTTAATATGTACTCATGATCTGAACTTGGATATACAGGGAATAGTGGCAATGAAATCAAAAACTCAGGAAGAAAGAACCATCTGTGACTTAGCAATATGTTAAGGATAGTATAAAATGGTGAAATGTGTAGGCCTGAGGGTTTAATAAACCAGCAAAGGACCACAAGAAAGTTGATTTTTAAAAAACGCAAAAAAGACCGTATATGAGAATGCCCTAGCCTGGAATATGAAGAAACAGATTGCAAGAGTTTCTACATGTACATAAAAAGGAGGAAAGTAATTAAATTAAAAATTAGTACCTGAAAGCAGAAGATGGGATGCTTCATCACAAATGGCATACATTGAAAAAATATTTTGTGTTTGATTCACAGTAGAATACACAATACACTGAAAGTATGGGATAACCAAGAGGCTAAAAACAGCTAGGGACAAAAAGCTAAACAACATCACCAGGCTAAAATATATTGAAGAAACCTATAAGGAACCAAAATTCTATGCATTGCAAGAACCTAATGACCTACACCTAGAGTTTTAAAATAAGTAGTTGCAGACAGCGTAGTTGTGCAAATTGAGGAGTTTTGTAAAATCGTATACGCTAGAATTGTCTGAGTGGATTGGAAGTTGTCAAACATAATTCTAGATTCAAGAAAGAAAAGACAGTGAACTAGGGAGCTACAGGATCAGGTAGCACAACATCAGCCATCAGGAAAGTGCCAGATTCCCATATTAATAAAGTTAAAACAATGCACTTCGAAAAGCATAGCATGATTAAAGTCAGCAAGCTTTTATGAAAGGCAAGTTGTGTTTGACATTTATTTGAGTGTTTTCAGGGTGTAAGCAATAGGTTAGATAATTGGAAACCAGTAGACACAGTCCACTTAAATTTCCAAAAATGTAACTGATAAGGGACCACAAACAATGTTAATACACAAGAGAAGGGCTTGTGGAGTTGATGCTGATATATTAGTATAGATCGAGGCTGCTTAACAGACAGCTGAACATTGTCAAAATGGTTGGCTGTAACAATTGGTGTAAGAATCAGAGTTGGGGCCTGACCTACTTATAATCTACATCAATGGCTTAAATGAAAAGAAAGGAGGCAATGTTGCAAAGACCACATTTGTTTATTTTCCTTTATTTTTGGATTGTGCACCAGTTGGCAAATGCATTCTGCTTTAACCAAGGAAAGTATGTTGCAGTTTTAAAATTGCCTAATAGAACTCATTGTGAATTGTATTTACGCTGTTGCTTTGTCCAAGAAGTGAGAAGGATTACTCGACTCATGAGCATGTGGATATGTGTTTAAAGCAGGTTTGCCCAGTGACATGCTGTTAATTAGTTTTTCAATCAGGACCAATGTGTTGGCAAGAGTCATCAGCAAGAGAACAACTCTCTTATTGGCTCATAGGCAAGTCAACAGGCTGTGTGTGAACAATAAAGGGACAGAAAGCCTCCAGACTCTAAAAAAGACATCATCTCTCTCTCCTTGTAGGGAAGTAACACAGAATGGGAAGATAGGTAGCTACTCTTTTACTCATTGCTTACCAATAAGCTGCTGCCTTTTACTAGTGACTGAAAGACGAAATACTTAGTGTGCCAACCACCTTGTGCCTTCTGCAAAGAATGGAAGAGACTTGGAATGAGGAAGATCAAAGATCAGAAATTAAAGGACCCCTCAGTAATGCTGTGGACTGGTGCTATTGATCTGTGTTCCCTAATATTTTTCCTCCACTCATAACAGCAATGTTTTTTTGTTTGTCTATGTCTGTATGTGTGTTTGTGTGGAGTCTTAATTAGAGTTATAAGTTAATAATTCATAGTCTTGTTTGCTTGTGGTTAGGAGTGATTTATTTGGAATAGACAGTAGTTTCTTGTTGAATACAGGGACTTGGTCAATGCTTTCTGTGAACGTCAGTTCATCAGATGGAAAAATTGGGGACTTTGAGTAATTCAATTAAATCTTTAACTTTTGTGTCAACACCAGGAATAGTGGAGTTTGAGAATCAGTGCACTTTCCCAATTTGGTTGTGGCAATGTATCCGAGTTTACTCATGATACAAACTACATGGGAATGTAAACTTTAAGAAGGAATAATGAGGCCGCAAACAGATATAGAGATAGTAGGAACTGCAGATGCTGGACAAACACAGAAGAGTCTAGGCCCGAAACGTCAGCCTTCCTGCTCCTCTGATGCTGCTTGGCCTGCTGTGTTCATCCAGCTCTACAACTTGTTATCTACAAACAGATATAGTCAGGTTCAGGGAGTGAGCAACACCATGTAGCAGCTGGAATATAAAGTTGGGAAGTATGAAGTCATTCACTTTGGTATTTACATTAGAAAAAGTTTTTTTAAGCAGTGATTGGATAAATCCATGATTCACTCTGGGCACTTCCACTTAGGGGTAATGTCAAGGTCTTAGATGCTTTTTAGAGAATATTCTCTAAAATAATATCGGGCTGGGACTTCAGTTATGTGGAGAGAGTAGAGAAGCTGTGATAGTTCTCTTTACAGCAGAACTGGTTAAAATGGGGATTTGATAATGTTGAACTTTGAGTGGGGTTGATAAAGTAAAGAAGCTATTCCAAGAGGCAACAGGACCAGTTACCAGAAGGCACACATTTAAAGTAACTGGCAAGAGAACCAGAGATGGCATGTCAAAACTTTCTTTTTAAACATAAGGAGTTACAACCTGGAAAGACTCTCTGAAAGGGCAGTGGAAGCACATTCAATAATAATTTTCAAATGATCACGAATAAATTTTTGAATGGCAAACATCTGCTGGGCTGTAAGGAAAGAACAGAAAAGTGAAATTAACTGGATATCACTTTCAGAGTTGCCACTGGATCATTGGCCAAATTGCTATGTCTTGGTCAGTGATGGGAAATAATTCCTCTTTCTTCTGATTTATAGGAACAGCATGGTTTTGCTGAAACATCTTTTATTGTACAAAACTAACAAGAGCAGGTTTGCAAAGTGCTGTGTCTAAGCATGAGTTTTAGGAATTTTTAATTGTGATTCATTTAGAATCCAATTCAAGATAATAGAAAACAGGTTAAGTCATGTCTCTCAAATGTTTGCAATTTTCTTATATGTTAAACCTGTGGTTAAATTACACGAGACATGTCAGGCATGTTTGTGTGTGTGGTATTAATTATCCTTGCTGTGACACTGTACAGGCAGGATTCAATGGTGGGGATAACAGTCACTTTTTCAGTTTGCCCACATCTCGAACCTCTGAGATGATGAACATTGAAGAGACAAGTAACGTAAACTTCCCAGGACGCTGGATTTTTAGAATAGATGGAGATACAATTGATCCATCAAATGGTTGCAGCCTGAATGGTGAGTATCAATAGTACTAAAATGATGTAAATACAGCACAGATATCTTGCTAGCTATAGGCTCAGTGAGTAACCTAAGGGAGTCATCATATTCAGTTCTTCAAATGCCTGAGATGAGAGCCCTCAGTTATTTCAGATTTTGCAAAATTAAGACACTAAGACTCCCCTGGGGTCATTAAATGTAAACAATACATACTTTATGTAAAAAATCTCTACTTTTTGCCATGTGTAAGATTTCACAATTAGGTAAAGACCAATTTTACTAAGTTGAGGTGTGATTTAACAAAAATGAACTGGAATGAGCTCTGTGAAGGCATTCATAGTCCATGCAGTAGGAGGTGATAATGAGGTGAAACCCATTGAGCCCCAACAATCCATGTCAGAAATAATGCTCCTCTGAAAACTCCTCCCATTTTCCCTCTGAATCTATTATTATAGCCATCTAATCCCTTCTCCTTCAAATACTTGTTAGTGTCTAGTTTCTGCCTCAACACATTTTAATCGCTGTATGGAGGTGAGGTTCACACCTCACCACTCTTTGGGTGAAGAAGATTCTTCCCAGTCCCTAATCAGATTTCTTGATGACTATCTTATATTTATGGTCTCTAGTCATGATATTCCCCAAAAGGGGAAAGGTTTCTCTTGTCACCCCTCTCAAATCTTTCAAAATTTCAAAGAACCTCATTAGATCATCCTTAGCCTTTCTTTCCCAACAGACACATTGTCAATCTTTTGTTGATATGTATGTATGTTCATAAATCTCTGGTACAATTGTTGCAAATTTTCTCCACACCTTTTCCAATACCTCTGTATCCATGTTGCAATATAGCAACTAGAATTCACTTTGTGTCATCCTCACCACTTGCCTTTCCACCCATTTTTGCATTATCTGCAAACTTGTCTATAGTACACCTACTTTTCTCATCTGAGTCATTAACATATATTGTAAATAATTGTGGTCCCAGCACTGATCCCTGTAGTTCTTCAAGTTGTTAAGGTTGTCATCCTAAAAATGACCCTTAATTCCAATTCTGTCTTCTTTACTTAGCCAATCTTCTATCCATGCTAATACATTACCTCCAGCTGCATGGGTGCTTATCTTATTAAGTAGCCAAATGTGTGACACCAGGCTTAAAAAAAACAATAAACCTTGGAAGGAGAGTAGTGTGGATCTTGCAGCTGCTCCTGAGTTGGAGTTTTTCTTGTGATTTCCCTCTGGTTATTCCAGAGCAGGAGCAGAAAATTTTTCATTTAAAATTATTTTTGAACTTTTACAGTTTTTTTTTCTCTTTTGCATGGTTAAATTAAAAACCGTGGGAAGGGGAGGTTGTTTGGTTATTTTCTTAAATTTTCTTCTTTTTTTAGAGCATCTTCTTTTAGGTTTTATAAGATAGAATATAGTCTTTTTTAAGTTCACCCAGCATAGTGAGTCAGCAGTAATCAGTCTACAAACACTGGAGTTGAGAAAAGTGTGGGTCTTTTTAGGTAAATCAAAGTGAGCAAATTTTAAGGGGCAATTATGGTGGTCAGTGGAATGGTAGGCTCCTCCTGTTGGATGTGGGAGATTAAGGAATTGTCCCTGGAGACTATGTCTGCAGGAGTGGTGTTTGGATCTGTCTCAGATCAGACAGTTTCAATCAGCTGGAAAGGCAATTAGAGTCACCGAGGAGCATATGGGAACACAATGATGGATAGTGGATGGTTCAGTTCAGTCAGATAAATGGGTGACTGTCAGGAGAGGTAAGAAGGTGATATAAGAGTCTCCTGTGGCTAGTCCTCTCTCAAACAGATAGACCGTTTTGTTTACTGTTGAGAAGGATAATCTCTCAGAGGAAAATAGAAGTGACAGTCAGATCTTGGGCACTAAGAATGAATCTAATGTTAAGCAGAATTTGTCAAGATTCAAAACTAATTGTTAGAGGAGACTGTCCTGTCAGGGGCACAGAGAGGAGATTCTGCAGCCGTGAGTGTGAATTCAGAGATGGTATGTTGCCTCCCTGTTGCCAGTATCAAGGACGTCTCAGAGCAGTTGCAACAGTTGGAGAGTGATAAGCCGGAAGTTGTTGTACACATTGGTGAGAATGACATAGTTAGGAAAAGAGTTGAGGTTTTGCAGAGTGAATATAGGAAGTTAGGTAGACTTTGGGTTGGGGTTAGAGATTTGCTGAGATCATGAGGTTGTTGACTTGCTTGCCGAGCTGGTTTGTTCTTGTTCAGATGTTTTGTCGCCGTGCTAGGTGACATCATCAGTGGAGCCTCCAATGAAACAATGTTATTCTACTCCACTTGGAATTTATTCTGTCTGGTCCTTTATGGTGAGTACTGTCATTTCTGGTTTTGATCTGTATAGGTTTGTATATGGGGTCCAATTCTGTGTGTTTGTTGATTGCAATACAGGTGGAGAACCATGCCTCTAGGAATTCCCGTGTGTGTCTACGTTTGGTTTGGGCTACTATGGTTACCTTGTCTCAGTTAAACTGATGGCCTTCGTTGTCTGAGTGTCCTGATATTAAGGGGAGTTTGTCGTGCCATTTTGCTACTAGCTGATGTTCGTTTATTCTGATGGCTAGTTTCCTTCCTGTCTGTCCGATGTAGTGTTTGTGGCAGTCGTTGCATGGTATTTTGTAAACCACATTGGTTCTGCATGTTGTGGGAATGGGGTCTTTAATCCTTGTGAGTGTTTGTCAAAGAGTGGCTGTGGGCCACCATGATTCCCAATGGTCTTAGGCGTCTTGTTGTCAGTTCTGATATGTTCTTGATGTAGGGCAATGCGGCCAGTGTGTTAGGGCGTACTGTGTCCCCCTGTTGTTGTCTGTTTTGTAGGCACCTGCGGATGAAGTTGCGGGGATATCCATTTATAGCGAGGATTTTGTATGGGTGCTTTTCCTCTTTCCTGCTTGGTTCCAGAGCATTACAGTGTGTCCTGGCTCATTTAAACAGTGTCCTAATGCAGCTTTGTTTGTGGACATTGGGGTGGTTGCTGTGGAATCTGAGGATTTGATCAGTGTGGGTTGCTTTTCTGTATACCGAGGTTTGGAACTCCCCGTTGGTCATACGCTCAACTTTAGCATTCAGAAACGGAAGTTGATTGTTGTTTTCTTCTTCCCTTGTGAATTTAATCTATGCAAATACGCTGTTGATGAGGTGATGGGTTTCTTTTAATTTGTTGCGTTTAATAATGACAAATGTGTCGTCTATGTAATGGATCCGCAGTTTAGGTTGAATGCGGAGGAGGGTGGTGTGTTCTAGTCTTTGCATGATTGCTTCTGCAATGAGTCCTGAGATGGGTGACCCCATTGATCTGTTTGTATACTTGACCATTAAAGACGAAGTGTGTGGTGAGGCACAGGTCTAGTAGTTTGAGTATGTTGTTATTACTGATGGAGCTGCTGGTCTGTGTTGCTGCTTCCTCTAGTATTGTGGCCACTGTTTCTTTGGCTAGTCTCCCCCTCCCTCACCACCCTCCACTGTAGACAGATCTCGGACATATGTAAGAATAATAGGCTTGTAATAGTAGAGGATTTTAACTTTCCAAACATAGGCTGGGACTGCCATAGTGTTAAGGCATTGGATAGTGACAAATTTGTTAGATTTGTTCAGGAAAACTTTCTTTATCAATATGTAGATGTACCTGCTAGAGAAGGAGCAAAACTTGACCTTTTCTTCAGAAATGAGGCAGGGCAGGTCATAGAGTCATAGTCATAGGGTCCTACAGCACAGAGACAGGCCCTTCGGCCCAAACTGGTCCATGCCAACCAAAAATGTCAGTCCAGCTAGCCCAGTTTCCCTGCACTTCTGTTGGTATGAGACAGGAACTTTCATTAGTTGATTGGAATAGACTTTTCACAGGTAAAGGGATGGCTAGCAAGTGGGAGGCTTTCAAAAGTGAGATAATGAGAGTTCAGAGGCTTTATGTTCCTGATAGAGTGAAAAGTAAGGCTGGTAAGAGTGGGGAACAATAGATGAAAATAGATATTGAGGCCCTGGTCAAGAATAAGAAGGAGTCATATATTAGGTATAGACAACCGGGATCAAGTGAATCTCTTGAAGAGTGTGATGGGAGTAAGGGCATTCTTAAGAGGAAAATCAGGAGGGACAAAAAAGGGATATGAAAACAGCCTTCTCAGATAAGTTTAAGGTTAACCCAAAGACATTCTACAAATACATTAAAAGCAAAATAGCAACTACAGAGAGAATAGGGCCCCTTAAAGATCAATGAGGCTGTCTACATATGGAACCACAGGAGAGAGGAGAGATACCAAACAAATATTTTGTGTCAGTTGTTACTGTGGAAAAAGAAATGGAGACTAGGGAACTCCAGGAAATAAACACTGTCTCAAAAACAGTCCACATTGCAGAAGAGAAAGTGCTGGAGGTCTTGAAAAACATAAAAGTGGATAAATCTCTGGGATCTGATCGAGTGTATCCCAGGACATTATGGAAAGTGAGCGAAGAAATTATGGGGAACCTAGCAAAAATATTTGTATCATTTATAGCTATGCTTGCAGTGCCGGAGGACTGGAAGGTGGCTAATGTTGTGCCTTTATTTTAAAAAGGCTGTCTGGGAATGATAGACCTGTGAGTTTGACATCAGTAGTGGGTAAGTTGTTGGAGTGGATCCTGACAGATAGGATTTACGTGCATTTGGACAGGCAAGGATAGATTAGAGATAGTCAGCATGGCTTTGTGCGAGGGAAATCATGTCTCCAAACTTGATTGAGTTTTTTGAGGACGTAAGCAATTGATTGAGGACAGAGTGGTAGACGTTGTCTACATGGACATTAGTACAGCTTTTGACAAGGTTCCACATGGTGGACTAATTAGTAAAGTTAGATCACAGAGAGAGCTTGCAAATTGGATACAAAATTGGCTTGATGGTAGGAGACAGAGGATGGTGGTGGAACGTTGTTTTTCCAACTGAAGGCCTGTGACCAGTGGCATTCCACAGGGATTGGTGCTGGGTACACTGTTGTTTATCATTTATATCAATGATTTGGATGAGAATTTGGGAGGCACGCATAGTAAGTTTGTGGATGACATCAAAATTGGTGATTTATAGTCGACAGTGAAGAAGATTATCTAAGATTACAAATTAATTGCGTCAATGGGCTGAGGAGTGGCAGATGAAGTTTTTTTTCTTTATTCATTCACTCGATGAGGGCATAGCTAGCTAGGGCAACATTTATTGCCCATCCTTAATTGCCCAAAAGGCAGTTAAGAATCAACCACATTGCTGTGGGTCTGGAGTCACATGTAGGCCAGACCAGGTGAGGATGGCACTTTCCTTCCCTAAAGGGCATTAGTGAACCAGATGGGTTTTTCCGACAATTAACAATGGATTCACGGTCATCATTAGATTCTTAATTCCAGATATTTGCTGAATTCAAATTCCACCATCTGCCGTGGCGGGATTTGAACCTGGGTCCCCAGAACATTATCTGGGTCTCTGGAATAACAGTCCAGTGATACTACCACTTGGCCATTGCCTCCCCTTTAATATTGATTAATGTGAGGTATTGTATTTTGGTGAATTGAACAAGGGCAGGACACAGTTAATGGTAGGGCCCTGGGTAATTTTGTCAAACAGAGGGAACTAGAGCTTCAGGTACATAGTTCTTTGAAAGTTGTATCACAGGTGGACAGAGTGGTTAAGAAGGCATTTGTTACATTGGACTTCATTGCTCAATCCATTGAGTATAGGAGTTGGGATGTAATATTGAGGTTATCAGAGACATTGGTGAAGCCACTTTTGGAGTACTGCGTACAGTTCTGATCACCCTGCTACAGGAAGGATATTATTATATGGAGTGGGTTCAGAAAAGATTTACCAGGATGTTGCCGGTCTGGAAAGTTTGAGTTATAAGGATAGGCTGAGACCTTTTTCACTGGAGCTTAGAAGGTTGAGGGGTGACCTTATAGAGGTTTTTAAATCATGAGGGGCATAGGTAAGGTGAATAATAAAAGTCTTTTCCTTAAGGTGGCTGAGTTCAAAATGAGAGGGCATAATTTTAATGTGCGAAGACAAAGATTTAAAAGGGACCTGAGGGGCAAATTTTTTACACAGAGGGTAGTTCGTGTGTGGAATGAACTGCCAGAGGAAGTGGTAATTGCGGGTGGTTACAACATTTTAAAAGACATTTGGACAGGTACATGAATAGAAAAGGTTTAGAGGGAGTTCATCAGTTCTGAGGAAGGGTCACTGGACCCAAAACATTAACTCTGATTTTTCTTCACAGATGCTGCCAGACCTGCTGAGCTTTTCCAACAACTGCTGCTTTTGCTCCTCATTTACAGCATCTGCAGTTCTTTCTGTTTACATTAAGGTTGAGAGGGGAATAGACCCAAACACAGGCAAGTGGGAACAGTTTAGTTTGGGAAACTTGGTTGCCATGGATGAGTTGGACTAAAGGGTCTGTTTCCGTGCTGTATGCTTTATGATTCTATGACTATGTCAAACGCCTTTTGGAAATCCAAATATATTACATCCATTGCTTCCCTTGTTCCTGCCTGTTACCTCCTCAAGGAATTCTAATAATATGTTGGCATGGTTTCCCCTCTGTGAAGTGATGTTGACTGCTTGATCATATTAGGTATTTCTAAATGCTCAGCTATTACATCCTTTACAATAGGCTCTAATATTTTCCCAAGAATAAATGTCAAACTAACTGGCCCTTTCAGTAACCTGTTCTTTCTTTTTGTCTCCTTCCTTTTTTAAATAAAGTTGTTGCACTGGCAGTTTTCCAATCTTCTGGCACTTATACAGAATCCAAGAATTCTTGGAAGATGACTACAGTGGATCCACTATATCTGTAGCTAAGTCCTTTAATATCTGAGGGCGCATCCAATCGGGTCCAGGGGACATATCAATTTTTAGCCCCATTTGTTTCTCTCGTACTTGTTCTCTAATGATAGTCATTTTATTTATTTTTTCACCCCTTTTACCCTTTGATTATTTAGTAATTTTAGGATGTTGTTAGTGTCCTCTTTTATGATGACTGATGCAAAGCTTTTATTCAACTCGTCTGCCATTTCCTGGTACCCCATATTACTTCCCCAGCCTCATTCTCTAAGGGGCCTATGTTCACTTTGGTGTGCATCCTCCTTTTTATATATTTAAAGAAGCTCTTGCTGCTTATCTTGATATTACTTGCAAGTGTACCCTCAAAGTGTATTTTTCCCCCTGTATTATGTCCTTTTATTAGTTTTTAAAAACTTTCTCAATGTTTTGGCTTGCCACCTTGTATGCTTTTCTTTCAATTTGATACTATTTTTAACTTCCCTGGTTAACCAGGGTTGGCTTATCCATTTTCTTCTTTCCCAATGGGAAATCTTTGCCTTGAGAAGAGAACTATTTTCTTCAACATCTGCCATTTTCCTCAACAGTCTTCACTGCTAAATTCCAGCTACTTCTGTCTTAATTCCTTTGTAATTATACTTATTGCAATTTAGCAGAGTTTTTTTAAAATTCAAGTTTCTCATTTTTAATCTGAATCCAAAATTTTACTATGTTGTGGTCACTGTTTCTGAGGGGATATTTTACTGTGTGACCTGCCTCATTATACATCATCAGATCCAAAATAGCCTGATCCCTGGTTGGATCCACAACATATGTTTCTAGAAAACTATCCTAAAGGAGTTGTCAATCCCAGGGGATTGCAATGCATTTTCCCTTTAAATCCAACCCTTTGAAGCTTCTTTAACACTTCAGGTGTGATATTTTAGGATTCTTCTCTTCAGATAATCACTGAATTTGCACTGGCACTAATTTTGGCTGTATGTCCTTAAAACATCTCAGCATAGGAAGGTGCCAATCAGCCCATTCTGTCTGCACTGACTAAATAAACTAGCTACCCAATAGAATACCACTTTTCTAATAGAAGATGAAATCAACAATGTTATCAAGCAGCACCCACACAGCAATAACCTGCTCAGTGATGCCAAGTCTGCGTTCTGCCGGGTTCACTCAGCTCTTGACCTTATTAAAGCTTTGGTTCAAACATGGAAAAAACAGCTGAATTCCAGAGGTGAGATGAAAGCAGCATTTGACTGAATGTGCCATTAAGGAGCTCTAGAAAAACTGGAGTCAATGGAAATTGGTGAGGTGTCAAACTCTCTGCTGGTCAGAGCCAAACCCAGCACAAAGGATCGAGGAGTTCAGTCATCCCAGCTGCAGGAGGTACATAACACCATTAAGTCTGCTCCACCATCCAATCATGGCTGAAATGTTTCTCAACCCCATTCTTCTTCCTTTTCCCTGTAACTCTTGATCTCCTCATTAATCAAGAACTTATCTATCTCTGTCTTAAATACACTCAAATAACTTGGCCTCCAAAGCATTCTGCGGTAATGAGTTCCACAGATTCATCAGCCTCCAGTTGACACAATTCCTTCTTGTCTCAGTTCTAAAGGGTCGTCCCTTTACCCTGAGGCTGTGCCCTTGGATCCTAGTCTCTCCCACTAGTGGAAGCATCTTCTCTGTGTCCACTCTATCCAGACCTCAGAGGTAACCAAACAGATAGATCAGGTGGTTAGGAATTCATGTACAATAATTTACTTTACTAGCTAAGATTTCCCTAAAACAGCACAGCACTTGTGCTGGAATTGTATAAAATACTAGTTAGGCCACATTTAGAGTATTTTCTACAGTTTGGGTCACTGCATTAAAGGAAGGGTGTGATCACACTAGAGAGGGTCAGAGGGAGATCCATGAGAATCTGGCCAGGAAAGGAGAATGAGCAAAGATTGGACAGGACTGTTTTTCTGAATAGAGGGGAATGTGGGGAGATGGAGTTGAGGAGTATACAGCTAAGGGGCTGTAGAGAGTGGATTGGAACACCCTTTACCCATTAGTAAACTGATTTAGATTTAAAATTAAAGGAAACTTTAGGTTTTGTTATACACCAGAGGTGCTTGGAACCTGGAACTTATTGGCTGAAAGGTTTAAAAGCCACAATTGAAGATCCTTGAAAATTCACTTGAAGTTCTGTCGGCTGCTGGCCGGTGCCGCTGTATTGTTTTGGCTAGTACAGGTCTCCTGGCCGAGTGGCCTGCCTCCTGCTGTGAATGTCAGTAACTCGGAGTCGGTATTCGTTCTTGTTTCGGATTGATGCCGGTCTCGATCCGGTTTGCCAGCCGCTTCATTTCACTGGGAGCGGACTGTTTTCTGTTCCAGGGCAGTTTTTCCGCCGTGGGGATGTGTTCTGGACCGAGGAGAAATGCCAGACCAAATGCCGCTGCCTTGACCTGGAGAACCGGCTCCTGTGCCAGAACCTGTCGTGCGGCCAGTTCGAGCAGTGTCACTCTGTCGATGGTATTTACCGCTGCGTTCCCGAGCAGACAGCCTCCTGTGTGGTTTTTGGAGACCCTCACTATCACACCTTCGACGGATTCCTCTTCCATTTTCAGGGAACTTGCTCCTATGTCCTATCCAGGCCATGTCAGCAGAGGGGCCATCTCCCCGGCTTCAGCATCGAGTCCACCAACGAGAACCGCGCAGGAAGCGCCGTCTCTTGGCTTCGGAGCATCAAAGTGAAGGTCTATTCACACAGCATCGTCATTCCCCGGGGAAACGGCGGCCAAGTGCTGGTAAGGGCTCGGCTCTGGAATCCAACACCTGGGGTGGGCGGACGCCACTTTGGCAGTTGGGATTCCACAGGAACCTGGATCCGGATTGAAATGGAGTGAAAATCTCTCCGTAATTCCCAGCACATTAATGGGGAATGCTGGACGCGAAATATTAACTCTGTTTCACTCTCCACAGATGATGCCAGACCTGCTGAGTTTCTCCAGTAATTTCTGGTTTTTGTTTCAGAATTCCAGCACTCTGCAGGAGTTTTATTTTCTCTTTTTTTCAGTTCCATTATGAGGAGATGGGGGTGGTGGGCGGCTGGGGAAGTGGAAAAGCTGTCAGTTTCATTGACATCCCACTCTCTGCCCCCTCCCCTCCTTCCATGCTCCCTCTCCCTGTCCCCATTCCCTCCTCTACCCACTCTGTGCCCATTCCCCCATGTCTTGCCCCCCA